TGTAAGCTTCTCTCGAGGGTAATACGCCTCTTTGTAGCAGTGTTACCCGAGCCGGTAGGCGAGGGATGACACTGCTACAAAGAGGCGTACATCAGACGGTATTACCCGAAGGAGAAGCATACAACGTATTTATCTTACCGCCATGTTAAATGTACAAAATATCATTTTATTTTATGTTAAAGATCGCTACCGACTATATGACATGCAAACAAAATGGCGTCTGCCTCTCGACTGGATTTTTAACATGAGTGAAACATTCTGAAAAGCATAAAACTGCTATAAAAATTATTAAAAATTGTGCAAACCACTCAACGTATAAAATAGCTTAAATAAAGCAGTGAAACTCGGTAAATTAAATCTGTACAAAGTGAACACAAAAACAGCTGATCGAACGGTTTTCGAACTCCGGGCACGGCATGCGTCATATTATCACGTCATAGGGTTATTAGCGCTTTAGCTTCTCGGCGGAGAGCTTGGCGGTTACCGTGGCAGCGGGTAATATTTTTTCCAGTTGTCACCCTCCTACGGAAACTTGTTAAACCGTTATTGACCAGTGAAATTAAAGTATTTTACATGAAGGTAAGATAAAATCGTTTTCTAACTACTTCCCCCTTCTCCTATAACAGGCTAATTCAACAACGGAAGTTCACATATTCAGGAAAGACATTTGTATCTGATTCATTTAGATTGCATTTTAACAAGCTGACAACCGATCAATATTATGTTATCATTGATTAAACCAAACGTTACTGATAAGGAAATATAACATCTTGGAATGCAGTTTGGAAAGATAGCATGTGCGAAATTATATTTAAGAAAATTAAACAAAAAACGTCATTGCTTGAAAAAAATCGACAACCACGAAGGACATCTCTGGATGTCAACTTGATTCATATTGAGGAAGACGATATTTCAGCTGGGAAGAAGAGAGAGCTCATTATATGTACATGCTAGAACCACAAAAGTGAGAAGATCACAAAGGTGGACGCTTGATAAGGGAAGCCAGTAGTAAATTGACGCTGACTGGCAGTAGCAATGGACAAATGAAATCCAGGTATAAATCCAGGCATAAATTAACACTGATGGATAATAAACACTAATTGGTAATTGATTGGTAAAAGGAGGGCAAGGGGGTAACTAGCACGTAAGAAACAAAAGGTCGGCAATTATTTTTTCAAAATTTGTAATTTGTAGAAGCTCTAAAATATCTCATGATTTTCTCATTAGAATTATGACTCATTTGGAACGACATTTCCCCTCACTATTCTTAGTTAGAGGCAGTGTTGTTCATTCACAATTTACATTGTCCTCTCCACTGTGTCTGCTTCGCTATTTCGTATTTGATTTCAACTCTGCTTTATATCTAATGATCTCTTTGTGGAACTCTATTTGTCGTCTGCGCTGTTACAATTTATGCAACTCACCTCCAAAAATGTCATTTGACCTGAATTGCCTATTGTTTTGCTCTGGATACAAGCTGCGCTTTTCCTGAAGTTACTACTATTGGGGAGCATTTGATGTCGACACCCCATTATTTCATTGGTGGCATTGGTGCATGTTGTTTTATGGATGTGACAGGATCAATGTGCGAAGAAGAGTTCCTAATAATTGTCTGATCTATATTTACGTACCCATAACGATACTGAAAGAGCGATGACAAAATGACTTATTGCTCTTTAAAATACTTTTCTTGTTATACCTGAGCATTAAACCGTGGAACTGTAGAGTCTGCTAGCAATGTTCCAAGCACCTACTCCACTGAGCTGGAGCGGTGGGGTAGCCTAGTGGTCAAAGCGTTCGCTCGTCACGATGAAGAGCCAGGTTCAATTCCCCACATGGGTACAATGTGTGAAGCCCATTTCCGGTGTCCCCCGCCATGATATTGGTGGAATACTGCTAAAAGCGGCGTAAATATGAAAACTCACTCACTCTCCACTGAGCTAGTAAAACAGACATGCCATATGCATATAATATAGAGATGGAAGTCTTTCTCAACGTCTGGTACTCCTGTAGATGAATGTTGCACGATACTTACAGCAATCATGTTGTCTGCAAATTTCTCTTTTGTGAAGCTGATGTAATTCATATAAAAGCAGCAATGTCGGGTCTTTAGGGGTGAAACGTTCGGCCCTTCTGGAAATAATAATGCGAGATCAGTTGCTAGGGAGTGTAGGGGTGCAGTATCATGGCGGATCACTGAATTGAATTAACAGTACAGTCGCCAACTGCCTACTTTTTCGACCATTTGTAAAGATCAGATCGAAGATGTATCGAATATTCAATTTTCGCGACAGAACCATTCTGACGACTGTTTTAGAAACACAGATAATATTGATGGATGGAAATATCAGTTTTACGTGTGTGTGTGTGTGTGTGTGTGTGTGTGTGTGTGTGTGTGTGTGTGTGACTGTGTGTGTGACTGTGTGACTGCGAGTTCATGTCATCAATGAATTACAGTTGCCTGTATGGATACAATAATTTGTTTCGTTGACACTTTCAGAAAACAACTGCAGTTTCAGTCAGAGGTACCCTTCCACCTTTGTGCCCTACACGGAGAAGTACCTCACGACCAGACCAAAGCATGAAATCGTCGGAAGCTTGAAGACCTGCATGATTGAATGTACAACTATGTGGGCATGTGATGGCTTCAACTTCAATCTCCTGGACAGCAGCAGTGGAAATGGAACCTGTGAGTTTGTGTCTGTGTCACTGGCAAATCTGTACACCAAATCTGGATGGACATATTACAAGGCCGTTTGTTCTGAAACTCCAGCACAGCCCGTGTAGGATTTGATGTATTAGCAAGGCGGCTCTTGCATAACATGTCCCTTTGGCGGAGTGACTGACCACTGCTTTTTAGATATAGCTGCTCAGGCATACAAGGGGAGTGTGTACCGTCACCACTGTGACAAACACATTGAGGCGCTCATCCAGACCAACGTAAAACTAGGATGTGAAGTTCTTGAGAGGCATCTAGAAGTTGGTATGCAAGTATAAGACAAAATATTATGGATGTCAACTTCTTCTTTATTGTATACACGTTTCTGGGTCCATAATATTTTGTCTTATACTAGGATGTGAACACTGCAAAAAACAAATTCATATACTTGTTTCAATTATTTTTTCCTTGTTTGCAGGACTCGGAATTTTTCCTGTAACTTGACCCTTTCTGAAAATAAATTAATTACTGCACCAAAATGCCAGTGATTGATATCAGTAATATTCATCCATGGCCAAGCATAACGATGGTGTGGCCTTTTGTGCCAAGACAGCTCGTCTGCCTTATGATGAGCCCGATCATCGTTAAAATACATGCTGTCTTCGTTAGTTTTGCGATTGGCAGATAGGTGGCGCAGCCGGCTGAGGTGCTGCATTCTAAGATCGCCGGTTCGACTCTAGACTCTAGCCTTGATTTACGTTGTCTTACTAGAGTCGTCATTCTCCAGTTTCACGCAATGTGAATCGATACAGAACATTTCGCCCAAACACATCATAATATGATGGTTTGCAGTTTCCTAAACTTACTAATAGCTGGCTTCGCAGAGATGCCTTTGCGAGATGAGATGGAAATACACTTGCCATGGTATGTGGAGTATATTGTTTCCTACACTAGTTAACGGTATTTCAGGATATTGTATCGGCTTCATAAACTGTGTTCTGTCACACACCCAGCACGTAGGTTCCAATAAACTGATCTAAAATTGACAAAGTACTCGATGAATTTATTACAAATTTGTGCACATTTCAAACTTGAGGACAAACCTGCTATGATGAAATTTCAGATGTTGAAAGTTGTGTTGCTCAATTACTACATTGATGAGGGAGTTTTGGGACTTTTTGTCACGGTAATTTCTAATCAGTTACAGGACACACCATCATCAGTTTCAAAGTACATTGTAAAATAACAGTGTTGAGTGATCTGGTCATTAGATTGCCTAATATCACCTTTGTCTGAATCAACCAAGATCAATTCAAGTCGGGACTTTTAAAACGCAGCAACACACACATCTAAATGAATCAGAATGCTTTGTCTAAACACATTCTATTACAATATGTTCCGCATTGGGTGCTTCAACACCAGAACAGATTAAACTCCATCAGCATTCTTGTGGAATATTTCCATGTGTCGGATGTTTCCATCCAAACTGTTGAAACTAAGATGACAAGAGAAGATGGAGCTCAAATCTGGCAGTTTCCATAAAGTCTGTCGACCCTTGAAGATCCGGGTTAAAATTGGTCTTCATCAACCCATGACTGTCTGAAGAGGAGACCAACGGGATTCCAGTTGAAAAAAATGACAGATATTTTACTGAAGGCCACAAGGGCCTGCAAATATTTGAAACTGCCTGCCCGATACAATAACAACCGATTATTTCGAACGCTGGGCCTCGTTCCTCAAAGCGATCGTAGCGCTACGACAGTCGTAAGTCTATGTTAAAGTATGGGAGTGACGATTATCAGCTTAGCGCTACGATCGCTTTGTGGAACGGGGGTCCCGGGCCCAGATTTTCGAAGCTCTCTTAGCGCTAAGATAGTCGTAAGTTAATGTTAATGTATGGCACTTACGACTATCTTAGCGCTAAGAGAGCTTCGAAACTCTAGGCCCTGGTTATCATGTGTAAACATTATTACGAGCGAACGCTTCAACCACTAGGCTACCCCACCACCGTCAGGGTGTGCTTAGTCTAGTAAGAGTGAGTATGGTTTTACACCGCTTTATGACAATATTCGAACCCGGGTTTTCAGGTGACGAGCGAACTCTCTAACCACAAGGCTACCCCTGGTATGGTAATGAAGGCCAAGTAACACATGAGATAGGCGTCTCCATGTAAGTCCCACTTAGGTGAAACTTACGCACACGGGTTGTGCAAAGTTAAACGTTTAAGATATTTAGACAGTGCAGCATGAAAGCCTAAACTTGACCTATATTAATGCCCCAGCGAAATTAGGTCAGGGAGTGCCGTGTGGCGAATACATATTGTCGTGTTATCGCTCGGTACACGCATTCACACACTGACACCGCTGGAACGTGTACACGATGGGGGAATCTGAAGACTTGGGCGGTTTGCATAGTTTCAGTACTGATGCCATCCATGCAGGGGTGGATCCTATGCAGTGGAGTCACAGGGCTGTTGTTCCACCAATCACCTTGGCAACAACGTTCCGGATTGAGGAACCCACGCGAGGAGCGGTAAGGGGAAAGTTATCATAGCTTTACAGGTATATGGCGCCATTGGGTACAGATTAAATATATTCACGATAATGCATACACATAAAGACCAACTGTTGAAATGCCGTCATTGTGCATTATCTTACTTCAACACGATGTCAAAGACAAAAAGGGCGGTGGGGTAGCCTTATGGTCACGCCGAAGACCCGGGTTCGATTCCCCACATGGACACATGTGAAGCCCATTTCTGGTGTCCCCCGCCGTGAAATTGCTGGAATATTGCTAAAAACGGCGTAAAACTAAACTCACTCATTCCAAGACGAATGTTGGGTTTAAATGCATAACGTGGTCCCTTAAGCGTGTAAGTACCGAAGAATATAAGTTTTATATACGCTATCCATAAAACAGCTGAGTAACAGTGCGCTGAGTCATTCCGTAGTGATAGTGTGCTATTTTCGCCAGGCAACCCAGTTCAGTATACATTCATTGTGGTAGATATCATAAGAAGGTATATATATATGTCCAAGATCAAGTTTCTATGTTTTATTAGTTTTGTAATTAGTTTTTGATAACAGAAACTTGATATGGGTCTCTATTTAACCTCTTGGTATTTAACAGTGTAACTAATCTGGGAAGGCTTGTCTTGTACACGTTGTCAGATGCGAGTGAGTGAGTGAGTGAATGATTTGGGTTTTAGGCCGCTTTTAGCAATATTCCAGCAATGTCACAGCGGGGAACACCAGAAATGGGCTTCACACATTGTACCCATGTGGGGGGATCGAACCCGGGCCTTTGGCGTGACGAGGTAACGCTTTAACAATTAGGTTACCCCAACGCCCCCCTTAGAGATGTGACAGATAAAAAGATTCAGAATAAGTTAAGATAATTCACCTCAACTCATTCTTAAAGTGACGCAACGCAACAATGACCAAGTACAAGTCTACATGTAAGGTACAGTTTACCAGTGCTCCCGGGAAACAACACGTGTTCGTGCCAAACATATTAGAGACAAATAACTAAAGGTTAACCTCGTCGCAAACTAGACGATTGTCAAGAAATTGGGATTAGGATTAAGGTAATATTTAATATGCATGTAACTAAAATCATTATTTCAGAAATTTTACTACTCCCGAGGAAACAACCCGAACCGCAGCTGTCTTCAAGAATGTCTAGCAGCACTGGAAGGGGCGAAATCAGGTTGTTTATTTTATCTGGTCTATTCAGCTAGTCGCCTGAACAACACAGGTATCATGAATGTAGATGGGGATGTCGTTGTCGTGAAGAATGCGCGCGTAAACAATTTAAAAACTTCCCATATTCATGATTCCGAAGGTATTAAGTTTAGTACATTGTGTCAAGTGTATGATGCCACACTTTCGCAGTAAAGTACAGATTCTAAGGATTTTGTTTGAGGAAGGGGGGATTTGGCCCCCCCTGGCATTCGAACCTACAATCTTAGAATAAGGCACCTAATCACAATCACGAAGTCAGCTATCTAACCCAGCTACAGCGTCTTTTATTATATTGAAGTCTGATGACAAATAGCAGTCTAGATGTCAGGTACTTTGTGTTCCGTGTTATTAAGGGGCATAAAACTGGGACTGTTTAAGTCAGTTTGTTGTGTCAGCTTGACTTGGATAATAGGTGGTTGGTTGTTTAACGCCGCACTCAGCAATATTCCATCTAACTGGAGGCGGTCTGTAAATAATCGAGTCTGGATCAGAAAATCCACTGATCAACATCATGAACGTCAATCTTCGCAATTGGGATACGATGACATGTGTCAACCAAGTCAGCGAACCTGACGACACTTTCCCGCTTGTCCCCTCTTACGACAAGCATGAATTCTAACCCGGATCTTCACACGTATTGATACAGTTAGGGCAATTTATGGGCCGTGATTATCGCCACCATGACCCCTGAAAGAGCAAGGTAGATTAATAGTCTGTCCAATAACATACCTGAATTTCAAATTCCAGCGTATTGTTTCTCCTCTGGCATGGCAGCTACAATGACAGCCGCCCACCTCCTCACGTCCGGCGACAACGTGGTATGTTCTGCAGACGTCTATGGAGGTAAACCAAGCAGAGCGCACGTTTAACAGTCATTTTCTTTAGACTTTGATAATTGTTGTCACCGAAATACCCTCGCTGAGATGTTTGCACTGCAAGCAATGGGTTATAGTGAAAACGGACCCCAGCGAAAACGGCCCAAACAAAAATCGAGAAAACGGCCACCCTCACGAGAAAACGGCCACCGGTGCTAGAGTGAGTGAGTATGAATTTACGCCGCTTTTAGCAATATTCCAGCAATATCACGGCGTGGGACACCAGAAATAGGCTTCACACATTAGACCCATGTGGGGAATCCAACCCGGGTCTTCAGCGTGACGAGCGGACGTTTTAACCACTAGGCTACCCCACCGCCCCCCGGTGCTAGAGAATACGGCCTCTAGGCCTAGAGAAAACGGCCATTATAGATATAATAGAAAACTATATATTTTTTATTTTGCTGTTATTCATCTCAAAATCAATATCATAATAAAAAGGCAACAACAATGATAATATAGTCAATGATAACAGGTTTTAAATTGTACATCTGCAGGTTGTATTTATGTATTATTTATTTACCACTCTTCATTTGTTTGTCTCTGAACAATGCAATATATATCATAATACTATATTTTTGTACATAGTTTCTTGTTATTGATAATAAATACGGTGATACGTGTTCTAAAGAGATACCTAGAGATACCTTCGGATCCACCAGCAGTTAGTCATGAAAGCATGTGACGTCGTCTATTGCACTGTAGCAATCAACCACTACGAGGCTGATATACATGATGTGTTTACATATTTTATATCATATTCCCTGACATAATATTCCCTGAAAACAGCCATAAATGTGAAAGCACGAGAAGATTATCACCTTAGAGTTGCTAACACTGACTGACTGACTGAGTTTAGGTTTACGCCGCTTTTAGCAATATTCCAGCAATATCACGGCGGGGGACACCAGAAATGGGCTTAACACATTGTGCCCATGTGGGGATTCGAACCCGGGTCTTCGGTGTGACGAGTCAACGCTTTAACCACTAGGCTACCCCACCGCCCCAGAGTTGCTAACATGTAACATTGATACCTGTAGAGGAACGGCAAGATGTCTTGATTTGAAACTGATAAGCACGTACATTCCAACATAGTTGTGACAAAGTCGTAATTAATTCGACTTATCCGAGGTCAAACATGACAGGAAATTATTAATAAAGAGGGACTATGCAGGGACCAAACATTTACTTCGAGACAAAGGTCAGTTCGACACATCAAAGTTCCAAGCAACAGTGTTTGACTTTAATATTACTTTTAAATCAATCATAAATAATAATACACGTTATATCCGTGTTCTACTGTATACATATTTTGTTTACTCAAATAGCTTTTGTAGCTAAGGAGACTTAAGTCATATACATTGGTTACTCGTCTAACAAGACTTGATAGATTTGAAAAAATACCAGATTGAACAACTACCTCTTTTGAGCAATAATAATTGAATAAATATCCGTGTATTTGTGAAATGCAAAATTCTGGCCATGATTACACAATGCCATTTAAAAAAGTGGTCATATGTAACATATGTTGTATTTGGGATTACACTTTCTTAGTAAAGTACAAATTCTAGCACTTTTTTTAGTTGAGCCCCATCGGGATTCGAACCCACACCCTCAGAGTCAGGCACCTAATCGCCAGCACACAAGTGTAATCCCAATACAACATATGTTAAAATTACGGCCATGCTGTTTTATTTACAACTCAAATATTTCAGGGACATTCAGATATTTCAAGTATTGCGCGGTAAAGATGGGAATAAAAAACGACCTTCGCTGACTTCTTTGATTTAGCCAAGCTTGAAGCGGCACTGGATTGCCAACCTAAAGTAAGTGTTGAAACTTGTTATTTTCGGTTGGAGACTAATACAACTGTCGTTCAATGTATCCCTTCACCACCCTAAGTTTAACGAGTCTTGGTTTGAACACAGAACTGATGGAGGAAGGAACAACAACATGCTCAACTGGGCCATTCATCTGTCCACGCGTCTCGATAAGAATGGGAAACAAAAGAGCTGCTGAATGTTCTTTCAATTAAAATGCCTTTCAAGATCTTCAAAACAATATTGAATGTTTTTCCATTTTCTAAATGCCGTTCTCATCGAGTAATCGGAGTATACAATATTCACAATGTTGGATGATTCTATTCATGTATTTGTATGTGTCATTATGTAACTAATGGTATGATGGAAGACTTTATTTTTTCATGAAAATAAAATAAAAAATATAAAAAAATATTCACAATGACGCAACCCGTCAACCTGCATGCAGAGTCGAGTTGAATAACATCTTGTATATATAATGTCAGATTTATTTGCTGTATCATCAGAGAGTACTATGTGTAAATGTGTGTACATTTCCCTGCAGATGGTCTGGTTTGAAGTGGTGACCAATCCAACTTTGAAAATGACTGATATCGAAGCCGTCGTTGCTTTAGTCAGGAAAAAGGTCCCAGATGCGCTGATCTGCGTCGATAACACATTTCTCACTCCGTATCTACATGTAAGCATTAATATTTATGTTTTGAATATGTTTATGTTTTGTTTGTACAGTAACGCCTCACAATATTCCATCTGTGTGACGGTTGTTTGTAAATAGACGAGTCTAACCCAGACAATCCAGTAATTGATGTTATAACATCTAGCAAATACGATCTGACCGTCATTTAGATAGACATTGGTTGCTGGGGATCTATATTCTCGGCCTCACTTATCAGAGGCATATATATGGTAGCCTCCCAAAACCCCTACAGCCCATAACCCCTACAGCTTATAACAACAAACTTCATGGTCCAGTGCACTGCTATTCTCCCGCCTGTTACCTATTTCATACAACAGACCAGCCCACACACTTAGAAATTTTAATGATTTAAAAACTTAGAATCAAACTTAGATATTAAAGTGCATAAAAAAGCAATTTGAAATTCGCTAGTTAAAGTGATTCCCCCCTTCATGTTTACTGAAAGAGCTTGTTTTGGAGACACTACCCATCCCCTTTCAGATAACATAATCATAAGGACATCAGTTATTCTCATATTTTGACTAATACCTCGTTAACCACATTACCCACATATGTGAAATTTTGGATATGGCTTTGCTAATAATTTCTGCAAAATAAACTGACGTTCAAAAGAAAGTACACACCTGATTCGTTGGTACAATGTTTTCCTGAAAACAACGTAATATTTAGAAAAGTGTTTTGATTGCGACTCACAAGTCACAAACATTGTGTACGTGTTGCAATAACACCATAGATATCGTACCCAACTGGAACATTGCTAGCAAAATATTTACGTTGTTTTGATAGTCTCAAAGCACCATGTGTGTACTTTCTTTTGCACATCAGTATATAATGGAAGCTCTTCAAACATTGGACATCGAGAATATAGTTAGACTGACTGCTTTTTGAACGCCCCTCGTATATACCACCCCAAATTATCTCACTTTATGTATCTCAGTTTAATATCTCCAACACTATTACAACTGATATCATTACGATTTGCAAAATCTGTCTACTCACTACGTACATCAGGAAGCTTAAAAAAATAGTTCAACATTTAATTCATCTCAGTTACTTAAAGTGAATTATTAAAACCCTACCAACAACAGCACCATCTTATTCCTTCTCATCTGTATACTCTCTGCAGCTTAATCTCACCCGGTATGCTCCACACTGTAATCTCTCGTTTGGGTCAGTTCATTATGACAGACAGGTAAACGCCGCGTGTTGTTCTAACTAATTGAAGGGGTACTGGGCTGTAGGGGTTATGGGCTGTAGGGGTTTTCGGAGACAACCATATATATGCATGTACGCACATCTGAAACCTCGTTTATACGTACGATACAATTACCCGTGAAATCGTCCGGGTTAACAAATGTCCGGATTAACAAATCACGGATACAAGGGTAAGAATCTTTTGGTAATGTTTACAGACTTTGATTTCATGATTTTTCCTCGTTTTCGGTTTAACGGGGTCCAAACTATCGAATCTCACTTTATGTATCTTCTTTATGCGAATCTGCATTGGACAATTGTTAAGTTTGATCTGTAAAGAAATAGCTGATACTTGAGAGTTTTTTAAATTTAAAAAATACTTAATGGCATGTCACAGCGTCATGTGAATGTGATGCGAGTAATCGCACTCCTGTTGTGTATGTCTCCTGCTCTCATATATTCGTTTTGTGGTCATTTCAGAAACCACTTGACTATGGTGTAGACATCGTGATGCACTCAATCACCAAATACATGAACGGTACAACATCTTAATATTATCTTACAAAATCTCGAAGACTGACGAAAATCGATGTTTTAAATTGTACAGATTATAATGTACAAAGGTGAACTTAGATTAATAATCATATGTTCAAATTGCGATAAAAGTTGTGTGTATCGAAAAGCCGAGGTAATTGTTATTAACATGTATATTCAACGCTGAAAACCCCAAATCGCCATGAGGTCGTTTTGATATCGTTATAAAACGAGCTGTAAATCGTATTATGTATTGTGATCAATTAGGAAATGTGTTGCGGTATTTCTGCGATGTTCACACTGTATGTAACCTGGAGGTTGTTTTCAGGCCACAGCGATGTTTTGATGGGTTCTCTGGCAACAAATGATGAAAAAATAGCCGAACAAATCAAGTTCTTTCAAATGGGTATGTTCCTTCACAAGTATTATGTTATTTCCAGACATTGATATTTGTTGGTTTGCTGTTTGATGCTTTGTGCAGTCGGCAGAAATGTTAAAGTTTTTCTTCTTAATATCTATGTAGATGATTTAGTCTGGGTGGATAAGAAGGCCTGCTTGACAACAAGGCCGGAAAAGAAGACACCGTATGAGTCAAGTCTGACTATCAGATTAATATTAGTCCAGACATTAGTTGCAACTGACCGTAAGCGATATAACAATTCTAAAAAGTCTCCAAACGGGGTCCGCAAGCCTATAACATATATGTTTCGACGCTGGCAAGGCCTACGCCGTAGTGGTGGTCCGATTAATTGAAATAATCGAAGATTGGTCGTAGTAACAACGACCAAGCAATCGATCACAATTTTTCATAATCGAACACAAACAATTCTGGAACACTTGTTTTCATTAACAATATTTTTCACATGGTTGGTTTTGTCTGTTACATTTCGTAAGCACTACAAGCTCGTTTCAAGTCACGATTGAATTTATGTTAAAGATTCCAAGAAATTTATGTTACTAACATACTAGTCATCCTTTAAGATGTGGAATTTTGCCAAAAAAAAACCCAAAAGAACTACTTGTTTTTTTATCTTATTTTTATGTGCATTAACATATTTCATAAATGATGCTAAACAATTATTTTCGATGATTGAACCAATCATCAATTATGAGATTTTAACCAATTCCCAACACTACTATGCCGTTGACACATCCTTCATAACCAGACCAAATACATTCATGGGAATATGTAAGAAGCATTGCAAGTATTGAGTGATGTGTATTCATCTCGTTTAGGTGTGAAAGGGAGAGGGAAAGGGAAAAACAATTTCGATTTATGATTAAAAGCAACACTTAACATCAGCAATGATGACCATATGCTTGTAGAATCAGTGTCCATCTGACTATAGTGTTGGAAAGGCATTTTACCAAAGCCTCTGGGCTGATGAGTCTGAGAAATAACTAGTTGAAATTCTAGAGCCTGCTTGCACAAAGCGAACTTAGTGCTAAGTCCATCGTAACTGGGGCGGTGGGGTAGCCCAGTGGTTAAAGCGTTGGCTCGTCACGCCGAAGACCCGGGTTCGAATCCCCGCATGGGTACAATTTGTGAAGCCCATTTTTGGTGTCCCCCGCCGTGATGTTGCTGGAATATTGCTAAAAGCGGCGTAAAACCAAATTCAGTCAGTCCATCGTAACTCATATAATCATTTTCCTTTGTCTCTACGTTTGCTTTGTATAAGTGGTCACAGGTCAGGGTCCCGTTCCACAAAGTAACCTTACCTCTACGGAGAGAAAGAGGTTACTGTAAGGTACTGAAGTTAAGCGGTCGTACCACTAACATCGCTTTGATGGGACCTCGGTTTGTTTCTCGTGACTACCCTGTCTTTTCTGTAGCTCTCGGAGCCGTCCCTTCCCCCTTTGACTGCTACATGGTACAGCGTGGACTGAAAACACTTGCCATCCGACTGAGGGAGCATTGTAGCAACGCTAAAGTCGTTGCTGAATACCTGGAGGGTCATCCCATGATTGACAAAGTTCTTTACCCTGGTGCGTATCACTTCAAGATGTGGATTGATCAGTAACTGTTTGATCGGCATTCTAAAAGTTGGTGAGGCAGAACATAGAGGAAGAAGAAAAAGGCGGTGTCTTTTTTTTAAAATTTTTAATATTTTTTTATTGATCAGCATATTATATTGAACGGGTTTCGTATGGCACACATTGAACTTTATGGTTACTGTAGTCATAGAACTGTACTTGTATTACAGATCTTTTTTCTAATCCCCACATGGGTACAATGTGTGAAGCCCATTTCTGGTGTCCCCCGCCGTGATGTTGCTGGAATATTGCTAAAAGCGGCGTAAAGCCAAACTCAGTCAGTCAGTCAGTCTAAGATAGCTTATTGTTTATTGCGTACAGCGACGTTTCAGTGTAGATTTTGACACCGTTGTCTAGCTGAAAGTGACGACAACCAGGTGATGAGTATTTATGCATAGCATGTTATAACAAACACCCAACTTCATACACCAGCAAATAGGTTGCATTGAGGACGTGAAAAGGTTTTCTCCTTCGAAACGCGTCATGCAGATTTCTGTAACGAGGGAGAAAAAAAGGGGTCCCGTTGGGAGGCCGTGGCTCGTTTGAAAGTGCCGTCTTCTCTTGTGAAGTGGTAGACGGCATGCATAATTTAGTGATGCTGATGATGGAGTCTGCAGATAGGTTTGTGTCCAGCGATTGATCCAGGCTAGAGATTCGCTGAGGGAGGATTTTCAGTACGACTTAAGTATAGAGATCAACAACATCGAAGCTGATGATCGGGACAGGTTCAATAATGCTGTTCATATTTTGACAAAGGTCTACAGAGTCCGCAATGCTCTATTCAATAAACATGAAGCTGTTTACTGATGCAGTTGTATGCTCCATTAGTGACTCACCAACTTCTAGAATGCTGATCAAACAACCAAGAGGGTTGCTAAGTAATGATGTCCATACTCTGAAACCTTTGCATTACAAAACACATTGCAGAGTGTAGACTGCTAGAGGCGACAATCAGTGAGACCGTCAATAAATACACGCTAAATGTTCTCTATCTGCGGATTTGGAACTTTAGTACAATATTTTCAGACAGGAGAGATATTACAGGATAATATACGAAAACTTTTGATGGCTGTGATGGACATCGATTTATTATCACCTTCAATTACGGCTGCAATAACAATAATTAGAGACGATAATGCGGGAGAACAATGCGATACGAAAAGATAACCCATAGAGTGATAGAGTGAGCTAGCGAAGGAGCATTAAAGCCACAGGGGTTCGAATCACTGTTTGGACATTAATTTTTAAAAATAAAAATCTAGATTTTTGCAACCTTATATTGTTTTTATATGTTAAGAGTAACTTTTATTTCAAATTTGAACTAAATCGGTGAAGAAATGGATTTTTTTAGAAAATGATACCGCTACACTCATTACATATTTTTATGTAATGAGTGTAGCGGTATCATTATGTAATGAGTGTAGCGGTATCATTTTCTAAAAAATCCCTTTCTTCACCGATTTCGTTCAAATTTAAATATGTAATGAGTGTAGCGGTATCATTTTCTAAAAAATCCATTTCGTCACCGATTTCGTTCAAATTTGAAATATAAGTTACTCATAGCATATGAAAACAATATACGGTTGCAAAAATCAAGATTTGTATTTTCAAAAATTATTGTCCAAACAGTGATTCGAACCCCCGTGATTAAAGCTATAGAACGACGCGAAAAGGTGGTCGTCGCTTTATCACCTCTAATTATTGTCGCGAAAAAACGAATAAGCGATAGCATGTCATGAGACTGTGATAACACGAGGTGAGTAAACGTGATGCTTTATCGTTTTCTTGCTTATAGACCCCTTTTAACACACATTTTCATGAGACCCATCCCCTAATTTCACCGGCCCTTCCATCCACCCCTTTAACAAGGGCCAATTATTTACAGACCGCCTCCATATAGTTGGAATATCGCTGAGTACGGCGTATAACTAGACTCACTCACTCAGTCACTCTTCTCTCTAGGCCACGATTGAAGTCTCTTGTGTCAAGTGGTTCTACTTGATGAATTGCATATACGTTAACAACAGTACTTTTAAACCAAACCTTTTCATAATTCAGGGGCGGACTATTTTCATGTGGTAAGGGGATATGAGAGCGGGGTTGTGGGTCATGTTCGGTGTCTCGTCTCCATCAAAGAGAACTGAGATTTTTCCAATAATATACACGCACGCACGCACGCACGCACGCACGCACGCACGCACACACGCACGCACACACGTGTATGGGTTCGTCTTCTCGAGTTTTCGCTCTTGTCGTGAGCGTAAATGAAAGTACAGCTTTGTCTCCTCTTGGAAAACATAAAATTGCGATACTATACATGTATATCGCTTTCTCGTAACGTTTTACCGCTTTCTATGGAATACTGTAAGGGACATTCTCGCGATCTCGCATTCTCGCGATCTCGTCCTTTGGAAACAAGCTAAAAATGCCAAAAGTGCGAGAATGCGAGATCGCGAGAATGTGCCTTACAGTATTCCATAGCTTTCTCACTCTCTCTTTATCACTTCCTCGTCTTGTGCTATTTCTTTCTAATCCCGTGTAATCACTATATCACACAGTGTAATTGCCTTCCCGTCTTCTTTTATCGTTTTATCGGGGCCGCAACTGAAGGCGAAGAAGCGACGTCCCGCTGCAACCATACAACATCAGATATAAACAATGGTGTGAACCAATAGGAAATAATGTTTGTTTGTATTTCAGGCTTAGCTTCTTATTCACAACACGGTCTAGCTAACAGGTTGTTGAAAGAATACGGAGGGATGGTGAGCTTCTACGTCAAAGGGTCGGGAGAACAAACCAGGAGATTTCTGAAAAATCTAAAGGTACTAATAGATGCAAATTCATTATATTGTTCCGTGTAATACCATATTTATGAAACGAGGGAAAGCGAGTTAGATACCAATACCATTCACGAGTTTCATAAATATGGTATAACAAGGGACATCGTTTAGTATTTTATTTATTACTCACCCAACATTAGCAAAACAATATCTCAGAATTCAACTTACAGAACGAGTGCATTACGCCGTCATAACAGGGTCACGCGTATGAATACATTTCATTATGATTGTCAGCATTAGTCTACTTAATTTGATTTTTTTAATAAACAAGGGGGTATGAAAATGGGACCAAATGACTTAAACCAACATCTTTTTTTTTTATAAATGCTATTACACGCAACAGAGCAAAGAACGGTTGAAACCAGTGCGTTACGTCCGTACATAGTCCCGGGAGCACGCGATGTTATTACACAATGTGCAATAACATTGTAGATTTGTAAAACAATGATATCTTCACCCAAATATCCTAACTCAGCGGCATCAAGATACCAAATAGTTCACTCAGCCCAGATACACATTCCTTAGATCACACATCCACATATTCTTAAACAATGGTTTCCAGTTACAAATACTTCACTTTATTCAGTCTATGTGTGAATTTGTTATATCATACATCCACACATTCTTAAACAATGGTTTCCAGTTACAAAAACTTCACTTTATTCAGTCTATGTGTGAATTTGTTATATCATACATCCACACATTCTTAAACAATGGTTTCCAGTTACAAAAACTTCACTTTATTCAGTCTATGTGTGAATTTGTTATATCATACATCCACACATTCTTAAACAATGGTTTCCAGTTACAAAAACTTCACTTTATTCAGTCTATGTGTGAATTTTTATATCATACATCCACATATTCTTAAACAATGGTTTCCAGTTACAAATACTTCACTTTATTCAGTCTATGTGTGCTTTTGTTATATCACACATCCACACATTCTTAAACAATGGTTTCCAGTTACAAATACTTCACTTTATTCAGTCTATGTGTGAATTTTTATATCACACATCCACATATTCTTAAACAATGGTTTCCAGTTACAAATACTTCACTTTATTCAGTCTATTTGTGAATTTGTTATATCACACATCCACACATTCTTAAACAATGGTTTCCAGTTACAAAAACTTCACTTTATTCAGTCTATGTGTGAATTTTTATATCATACATCCACATATTCTTAAACAATGGTTTCCAGTTACAAAAACTTCACTTTATTCAGTCTATGTGTGCTTTTGTTATATCATACATCCACACATTCTTAAACAATGGTTTCCAGTTACAAATACTTCACTTTATTCAGTCTATGTGTGAATTTTTATATCACACATCCACATATTCTTAAACAATGGTTTCCAGTTACAAATACTTCACTTTATTCAGTCTATGTGTGATTTTTTATATCACACATCCACATATTCTTAAACAATGGTTTCCAGTTACAAATACTTCACTTTATTCAGTCTATTTGTGAATTTGTTATATCATACATCCAAATATTCTTATACAATGGTTTCCAGTTACAAAAACTTCACTTTATTCAGTCTATGTGTGATTTTTTATATCACACATCCACATATTCTTAAACAATGGTTTCCAGTTACAAATACTTCACTTTATTCAGTCTATTTGTGAATTTGTTATATCACACATCCAAATATTCTTATACAACGGTTTCCAGTTACAAATACTTCACTTTATTCAGTCTATTTGTGAATTTGTTTTATTATATAGGTAGTATTTTTCCTGTACCACGATTGGTCAAAATACCGTCACATGATTAACTACAAAATACGATATTGACTTGAGTTTTCTGATAAATTACGATATTGACTTGGGTTACTAAAAATAGACAAGGAATCCTGTACGAAGGGGCTTACCCCGCTTTTCAGCCAATCAGATCACTCGGATAGATGGCACAGTGTGTGCATTAAAAGTTTATGTTAAAACCCGTTTCTCTTTCATTATATAATAAAACAATTATAGACTCTTGTAGAGGTCGATATCGGCTTTTATTGACCTGAGAAAAACAATATCGACCTCGCAAGCTCGGTCGATATTGTTTTACTCAGGTCAATAAAAAACCGATATCAACCTCTACAAGAGTCTATAATTGTATAATATCATACATCCAAATATTCTTATACAATGGTATCCAGTACAAAAAGTCTTCCCTTTACTCAGTCAATAAATTAATTAAGCACCCCTCTGTATTTTTGTAATGATAGGTTTTCAGCACGTACATAAAACTTCTCGTGGTGACCACGATGGAAAAACATGAGTTTTTCTGACCCGTACGATCCTTTGACTCATAAAAAACGACAAAATGATTGAAATCCATGTTGATTTTATGATGATAAGGGCTCATTCAATCGTGAGATATGTCAGGGGGTGCTTAACTAAGTTCTTTGTGTATATATGTGAATTCGTTGTGTTTACATAGTCTCCCAGACTGATGATGCCGTTACGAACTACTTCAAGCCTCACAATATCGGATTTTCATGTACGCAGGTGTGTACGCGTTGTACGTTTGAAATATTGAAATACCATTGCAGATAATCAGCCTTGGGTTTAGTCTTGGGGGATACGAGAGTCTGGCAGAGTTACCGTGAGTAAAATGAATTGATCTGATATGAATGTATGTACGCGTGTGTATTAAACAAAGCAAATATCAATATTGATATCCATTACATATGCCCATCGGCAGATATTTATTGTACAATAACTTTATCCACATGTCGATGATGCATCCTGTACCACAATGGACTGTTTTTTGTCATGATGAAATATCTGTGTGTTTGATCATGTTCAAATACCTCCATGTTAGTTTGGTCATCATCAAATACCCGTAATCAAGTTTGATCGTCATCAAATACCTGAATGCTAGTTTAATCATGATCAATAACCCGTATGCAAGTTTAGTCATGGTCAAAAAACCTGTCTGCTAGTTTTGTCATGATGAAATATCTGAAAGCTACATTTGTAAAGATAATATATCGATATGCTTGGTTAGTATGCTAGTGGTATGCTACATTAAATATCCGTAAGCTAGTTTTTGCCAGGATGAAAACCATCTGTCAGCGAGTACTTACATGTGGGGGCTGTTGGGTAGCCAAGTGGTTAAAGCGTTTGCTCGTCACGCCCAAGACCCGGGTTCCATTCCCCACATGGGTACAATGTGTGAAGCTCATTGCTGATGTCCCCGCCGTGATATTGCTGGAATATGGATAAAAGCGGCGTAAAACCAAACTCGCTCCCTCGCTATGACAGGACATACTTATCCATATTTATCCCAACACCTGGTGTCATCACTGATTTTAGGTGGTACTTTACCGTTAGTTTGTACGTCAATTACGTTTTCAAGGTAAGAGATGGTGCACGTGTTTGCCTGTTTTAGTTTGATTAAATACATATGCATCAGTTTTATTGTCCACGTGTACGGTGAGTGTGAGTGTAGTATGATTAAATACATTACATTAGTTTTATTTTCCAAGTGTACGATCAATGTGAGTGTATTTGGATCAAATTCAAACACTTTAGTTTCATTGTTTAAGTGTACGGTGAGTGTGAGTGTAGTATGATTAAATACATTACATTAGTTTTATTTTCCAAGTGTACGAACAATGTGAGTGTAGTTGTATCAAATTCAAACACGTTAGTTTCATTGTTCAAGTGTACAGTGATCGTGAGTGTAGTTTGATCAAATATGTATACATTAGTTTTATTATCCAAGTGTACGGTGATCAAATACGTTACATTAGTTTTATTGTCAAAGTGTTGTATCAATCTGAGTTCAAATACGTTAGTTTTATTGTTCAAGTGTACAGTGATCGTGAGTGTAGTTTGATCAAATATGTATACATTAGTTTTATTATCCAAGTGTACGGTGAGTGTATTTTGATCAAATACGTTACATTAGTTTTATTGTCAAAGTGTTGGATCAATCTGAGTGTAGTTTGATCAAATACGTATACATTAGTTTTATTATCTAAGTGTACAGTGATCGTGAGTGTAGTTTGATCAAATATGTATACATTAGTTTTATTATCCAAGTGTACGGTGAGTGTATTTTGATCAAATACGTTACATTAGTTTTATTGTCAAAGTGTTGGATCAATCTGAGTGTAGTTTGATCAAATACGTATACATTAGTTTTATTATCTAAGTGTACAGTGATCGTGAGTGTAGTTTGATCAAATATGTATACATTAGTTTTATTATCCAAGTGTACGGTGAGTGTATTTTGATCAAATACGTTACATTAGTTTTATTGTCAAAGTGTTGGATCAATCTGACTGTAGTTTGATCGAATACGTATACATTAGTTTTATTATCTAAGTGTACAGTGATCGTGAGTGTAGTTTGATCAAATATGTATACATTAGTTTTATTATCCAAGTGTACGGTGAGTGTATTTTGATCAAGTACGTTACATTAGTTTTATTGTCAAAGTGTTGGATCAATCTGAGTGTAGTTTGATCAAATACATATGCATTAGTTTAATAGTTCAAGTCTAAGGTGAGTGTGAACGTAGTTTGATCAAATACGTATGCATTAGTTTTGTCGTTTAGGATTACCATGACTCACAGCCAGTTGTCAGACGAGGCCAAGGACGCAATCGGTGTGACCAACACCCTTGTACGACTGTCGGTGGGACTGGAAAACCCAACGGATTTGTCCAAAGATCTTGATCGCGCCTTGAGGGCGGCAATGGTGTAATGATACAATATCTTATACCTCCCGCCGAACATTCTAATGTCATTGTCACCTTACCTTAAGTAAACGTCATTAGTTTCGAGACAGCATTACAATTGTGATGTTAGATATATTCCATGCAAATGTTGGCAATTTGATGTCTCCAATGCAAAGACGACAGATCATTATTATTCAGATATCATTATCCAAATGTGATGATGGTACAGTGAGAATAGCTTCTTGTAACTACATATATCAGTCAACTGTATTCAGTAGAAATTGTAAATGAAAAAGGAAATAAATGTGTAATCGGTGTCATTTAGTATTGTCGAACGATTCAGTATACCATGGGGACAGTCGTCAAAGATCCGCATCATCTCGAGCTCACACCAGCTGACACAGTGCTACAGCTATTACACAGTCCAGATGCTCAGCCAAACTATAGTTTGGCATGAAATGCATGAGGACCCGGTTTTTTGTAAATATCTCTTCATCCAATGACCCAATCGATCTCAAACTGTGCAAGTGGATGTTTTGTCAGACCACCTAATCACATTGTAAATCACCGATTTTATGCATTTGTATTAAAGAATCTGTCTATGTAACTGTCAACAAAATAAACAGCAGACCGCAGACTGCTTGAATGGTCGCATTGAATGATCCTTAATGACTACATGTGTTATGATCCATAATAATATGCAATATGTGTAATAAATCATTAAATAATTCAACAAAGCATCACAAGTCAGCTGTTTATTGCCTCCACATCTACACAAAATAACTTTCAAAATCAGTAAACAATATCCGAACAAATATGACAAAAAATCAACATAAATGCTACACATTGAAGGCACCTCTGAGATTCATTCATGATTATGATTTTTATTCTATTCAAATGCAAGTCCATAAAGTATGATTTTCCGCGAATGTGTCCTTCAAGTATCGGTATGTCATGACTAGATGTGGTTATCATAAATATCTATTTGCATACCCTAGACATCCATGCTCTCTACTTGCACAATGTGCTGTCTACACAAAACCAGGTTATCTGAGCACCAGAAACTACTGAACAAATACATTTTTTTACCCACCCTAGCAAGTTATATCACACACTTCAGCGGGGTGTATTTTATATGATCTTAATTATATTCCTTTTTACAGTGAGGTGAAATGTGGATTAATGCTGCATCAAACATAATATAACTTTTATGATCATTTAGATAATCTTCTTTTCAATATATGTCTATCTTTTTGAAAATCATCTTTTATCATGAAATGCAAATTGCCTCTGTGTATGCTAAGAAAAGTATTCCGGAAAAGCAGTTTCAATAAACATGATCAAAAGACCAGCATGATCCAGAGACTAAAGTACATACATCCTCTCTAATCATCATCATCATCATCATCATCAGAGTTTTCATAAACGAAATCAGAGGAGCCATATCTACCTATCTAAGGCACAAGGCACACACACTCACAACACAGAATATATATACATTGTAAGTATCACCTTTCTTAATTATTGCTATTGGTCTGGCATTAACCTACGTAGGCTAGTCATTAGGGCTGGGTAAAAAGATAGATAATCAGAAATGTTGTTGATGGGAATTATTATTAATGATTATCAATAAGAAAATTGTGTTATCAATAATATCATACATAAACTTTTGAGATGAAATAAGGTTTTAATTTACTCAGACAAAACACAAGGATAGATCTTTACTCATGGGCTGCTTCTAAATTACTTTATTATCCAAAACTAAATATGTCACCTCTCACCAGAAAAATTATTTTTTCTCAAAATGACTTGTCCAACATTTATCGATAATCGATCCATATTCAGTCTCTATTATTGATCTCTATGATCCATATCCACAGCCAGCCCTACTACTCATACAGATTAGGTCTATGATAAAACACTTCAAGTCTTCACATAACAACTATGTCTACACAGAGATCTTATCAGATCTTATCAGTCTCATCATCTATGCTCACCATATACTTAACACCTACAAGATTCACAATGCATAGCACTTAGTCATGTGGAGTGTTACGAGTCATATCACTTGTTACCTGGTTCAGACATGATCATTTACAGGGTGTCATTATGTATATATGGATTAAAGTCGAATGTGGCACAAATAAGTCAGTACCTTTATACTTAGGGACCGTTCATAATTTATGGCTGGGGGGTATTGATGATTTTTATGGAGAAGCATGTACAACGTGAATGACCCCCTCCTAAAATTTATGTACAAAGTAAGTGACCCCCCTGCATGTCATGTACAAAGTCAATGACCCACCTCCTCCTTTCCATATTTTTTAAGCATAATTTTAAAATATTTTTATATACAGAATTGCTTAACCCCCAACGTGTCCAAAATTGATGACCCCCACCCCCACAAACAAAATGGGTGAAACTCCCCACCCCTAAAATCATCATCACACACCCCTAGCTATAAATTATGAACGGTCCCTAATCAAAATGGGGTATTAAGAAATATTCTCTTTCAGGGTCTTTGAACCTTCGATAAGATGTTTATCATCATATTATGCAAACTGTCACTGTGATATGTTGATAATTGCACTCATTCATTAACTATGACCTGTGCTGGTCAATCATCATTGATCTAGGATCTGTCAGTCTGCAGTTTAACCAGGAACAACATGGAATGTATGTTTGGGGCAGGCCGGCTCTGTTAGTCCTGCATGGTTTTGGCTGCCTTCTCCATGAATGTGGCCAGTTTGACATCTCTTTGTGACAGACCACTCACATCGTGGCTACTCAGGGTAACCTGGACCTGGAACACGAGACTAAATTAATCAATAAGTCAGCCACAGATCAGTTACTTCTTCTTTTTTTCTACTGACATATATGTCAGGGTAGAGATTGTGATCTGGTAGAATTAGAGATTGTACCAGTAGAGATTGCGATCAGAGTCTCTACCAGTAGAGATTGCGATTGGATCTCTGATCCTACTAGTAGAGATTGCAATTGGAGATTCTACCAGTACAATTTCTAATTCAACTGGTAGACACTCTGATTGATCTTTGGGCAAACAACAAAGACACTTTATTTGCTGAACAATATCATGCATTCTATTCAGGTACATCTGGGGCTAAAATACAAGTGTGACTTGAGATCATATTGTAATTTTTAAACACACATCACAATCTCTACTGGTAGAGACTTCAATCGCAATCTCTACCCTGACATATATCAGTCAGGTTGAAAATCAGGGCATCTCTACTAAAGCAACATAATTGCAATAACTTTAAATGGCATAGAGAAGTTGGGGCGATGAAACAAGGGAGATAACTCTACGGAGTGACAATATACATACATAATCATCAAATTATCTCCCTTGTTTCAGAACCAGAGATGATGGTGAAACCAATTTCCTTCCCATACAGTATGCCTTGTAGATCTGCATTACAGGTACCTGATTATTATCTAATGTATGGGATATCTATTTAGTTCACTCTTTCAGCTTATGGTGAGTGAATGCATGAGATGTTTAGATGAGCTTTCAACAGAGTTTCTTTTACCGTTTTGGATCTATAAATAAGTGTACATGATCAAAATAAGACTTCTAGTAATCCTAATAGGCACTCCTCACCACGAATTAAACTTGAGGTCACAATCCATATTATGTTTAGCATGAGTACAACAGAAATATCTTTTACAGGAGCTGAAGCATCGGAAGGAATATTATTCACCATTAAAACCAGCTACCTGTCATCAAAAACGTTTTCGTCTTGACATACAGTATCATCATGTGGGGTTGATGAAGGAGCGAACGCTCAAATCATATCGATGAAGATACATTTGACATTTACCACTTTCGGTGACACCAGTGAGAATGAGTGCCGGGATGACAACTAATGGTCAAACATCCAGGATTTGAATCTTTGACATGGCCTTCAGACAGATAATTTAAGTTCTTTTATTAACAGTACTTCAGACATGAGTGAGTGAGTTAACAATATTCCAGCAATAATATGGCGGGGAGACACCAGAAATGGGCTTCAAACATTGTACCCATGTGGGGAATTGAACTCTGGTCTTCAGCGTGATGAGCCTTAGTGACGCTTTAAGCACTGGGCTATCCCACCATCCCACAGACATGAATTCAAATTAAGCTTAACAAAACTAAAATCTTGTACATGTATACATAAAATTCAATCATGTGTAGAGAAATTATGTGCTTGCAAAGAAATCTACATTCCTCCATACTACAAGTATAGTGAGTGAATGCTATTCCTCACTATGGCCACTAGTGGTGGTCCGATTAATTGAAATAATCGAAGATTGGTCGCAGTGACTAAACGACCAAGCAATCGAACATGTTTTCTCATAAATGAACGCAACCAATCTTGGAACACTTGTTTTCATCAACAATATTTTTCACAAGGTTGTTTTTGTCTGTGTCATTAAATTTACATTTCATAAGCACAACAAGCTAGTTCCAAGTCATGTTTGAATTTATCTCAAAGAATCCAGGAAATCTGTGTTCCTAACATACTAATAATCCTTTAAATATGCAATATTTTAAATGAATTTTGTTTAATTTGCAAAAAAACAAAACAAATTACTACATGTTTTTTCTTTATTTTTTACAAAGACAACAGGAACATTTGATAAATGATGCTAACCAATTATTTTCGATGATTGATCGGTTGTAATGGACCAATCATCAATTATGAGATTTTAAACAATTCCCAACACTAATAACCACCACAATCAGCCAGGTCAAGTCAAATCAAGCAAGTTGAAGTTGTTAATATCATCCAACCAATTTCAGTGTATAACTCACCTTGTTGTAAACATTAAACCATTCTGGGTGATGGTCCATCTTATCAGCTAGAAGGGCAACTCTTGTCATGAACCCAAATGCCTGAAACATCCACATTATCATTATAAGAGTAAAAAATACAGTTAACAAAATTATGAAAACAATCATTATGTTGATTGAGCGTTGTTGTATAGCTGTATTTAGCAACACTACAGGAATATTCCAGCTGTATGTAAATTATGGAGTCTGCACAAGACAATTTCGTAATTGTCATCAAGTGCATTGAATAGGGGTGAAACTGTATACCGCGGTATTAGTAGAACCACAGTATTTTGACTTCGGTTCAGTATACTGTAATGCAATCCAAAAATTCAGTATTTTTGGTTTTTATACCAGCATTTTATTAACATTTTAAAACTGTTTCTAAAATGTCTAAGTGTGAAACATTTTATCAGAATCTATGCATTTCAGTGCTAGACGGCTGCTATTTTCCTGGAAGTAAGTTCTCATATACTGAACCGAAACGGACTGAACCGAAGGCCTTGTACCACAATACATACCGTGCCGTGGTGAGAGCGTACCGTTTCACCCCTAGCATTGATGTATGCAGTTGGAATTATAACATGCATCAACCAAGCCAGCAAGCCACCAGTCACTTAAAGTCACCTCTGACCATTTGTACCCTGGTTCTTCACATATATTCGGTAAAAATATTGCCAAATGGGCATTCTGTGAAATCCAAGTGAAATGATTTTGTTATTTGTAATGGACAAAGAATCTACAAAATGCCCCAGGAGACATATCATATACTATCCCTGTAAGATTGACTAGGTACCGGTAATCCCAAAATTTCCCGTTCCACATGTTCTGTGTAAATTACACAGGTCACGAATCCAGTGAAGTTCATCAATCTTGGTCGCAGAGAGAATCATAATTTATGACATCAATTTTCATTCTCACTCTTGAGAAACTTCGTATAACTTCAGCACCCGAGAAAACTTGCCCCATTTGCTACACTACATACTGGTCCAAGGGCCATAACTGAGCATGGTCATAATCTGACAACACTTGGCAAGGGAAGTAACCTTGGCAAAACATAATTTATGGCACCAATAAACATTTGAACTCGGGTCTTGATAATACAGTATCTCCTAGATAAATTTGCCATATTTCATTTGTGGAGTTTTAGTAGTTTAAGAGAAAACATAATCCCTAAGCACTAAGTAAGATAGGGGTGACTATTGGGGGGGAAACAACTATTGCGATAGTGATAGTCTATTGCGACATACTATTGCGATAACGATGGTCTATTGCAACAGTTTATTTTCTCCTTGAATTGTCTCATTTGAAGTCATTTCCCAAATGAATGTATAGTTTAAGTGAAATAAAAACGAGTTGAAGTAGTTTCAGTCTCTTTTAATAACTAACAAGAAACTTGAAACCCGGATCAAGTAAACAGTTAAAACTTAAACTTCTTGTTTTTCACAATTTCAAACTACGAGTCGAATGACGGGTTTGCCGCCATGTTTGTTTAAGAGGTAACAGGGGCAGATAACTCTAAATATAGTGAAATCTTGTGTATTTTGCACTGTTTATTTATCAACGGAAGTCAATTACTAAACTATCGATAGTTACACATACTGTCTATGCATTGATAGTTTTTCGTTTCTACCATCGATTAATTGAGACTCAACAACTGCAAGCCATCATTAGTTTGATGCATTGTTACAGCACTTAAGTAAGATAACACTGAATCAAGGACTGTGAGAAAACAATTAGCCTCGAGCAAGGCCCATAACCAGATAACTGTGAAACACCAGACACCAATTTTCACGCAATTTTAATTATGTGGTGTTTAAAGCACATGTGCTACAATTTTATCCTTGTGGTCTGTAAAGCACACAGATCTTCAATGGCATTTCTCTCTCACCTATGTAGGCCATGTGTTACTTAAGATCTGCCAGTCTTTCAGCATGACTTGATAACTACCTTTACTGCATTAGGCACAGCAACAAAAGAGTTATAAAGAAAATTGTATGGCCGCCAACAGGTCTCATCATAGTCCCACATTAAATGTAAAATATTATTCAAACCTGGTTAAAATCTTTAAAGAGATATTCCTTGTAGATGGCATCCCTTCCTTCCACCATGGACCAGCCCACAGCAGTCAAGGGGCTCAGGGCAGAGCTTCTCTCTTCATCAGACAGTTTACCACGCTTTGCCTCAGTAGCCTACAGGGAATGAAAAACATCAAGAAATTGAAATAAACATGAATGTCTTAGGGTCAAAATATTTAAGCAGTCTAAGTAAACTTAGACTCAGTATTATTCGTTACACTGCTATACTGAGTCTAACAAAACCTTGTGGAAGGTCGCGTCAGAAAACCTTTTCAATTGACCAATCAGAACACAGCTTACCAAATCGCGAAAGTTGACATTCGCACATACCTTTGAACTTTTACCTCCAAATAGTTTGTACCGAACGATTCCGAATGCTATTTTCAGAACGATCGGTTCCTAGTGAGGCACGCCACAGCAGTGAGTAAACAGTCGCTGAAAATAGCGTTTTGTGAGTATTCAAGCATGTCAGCTTGCTGAAATATTAGCTAATAATAGCCATGTCACCACTGACTGACTATGTCACCAGAAACCCCCCATGGGGGAAAGGGTCGGGCGCGATAGCCAACGCTTTAACCACTAGGCTACCCCCAATCACCCCATGTCACCAGAAACCCCAAGGCGATACGGTGCTGCAGGGCAAATATCTGTGTTTTATGCAATTTTCATTTGTTGGGAGATCAGAGTTGGCGAACGGGGGAAGAGAAAATCCATTTTGTATGTCCCGATGAACCCTAAATAGTAGCTGTTGTCTGATTTGTTTAATCCATTCGTCCGTCTCGCGTTTGACTGGACGGTCATAGCTTGCTCAAAGGTTACCTGACGCCACCTTCCACAACTGGTGCCCATGTTGGGAATCGAACCCGGGTCTTCGGCGTGACGAGCCAACGCTTTAACCACTAGGCTACCCCACTGCCCCCACCTTCCACAAGGTTTTGTTAGACTCAGTATAGCAGTGTAATGAATAATACTGAGCCTAAGTTTACTTAGACTGAATATTTAAGATTAAAGATACAATGAAGACTGAAAATGTAGGGCCCTTGATATAAATACTCATGGCATCAACCTTAAGAAGAACATGTTGCCCCTTAATCATGTTAAAGCAGGGCTCCAGATAACTTTTGGGGGTGCGGGTGTACTTACACCTCATATTGCAAGTGGAGGTGTACTGAGAATTTTGAAGGAGTACTGACATGTTTTTGTGGGAGCGAGTTGGTGATGTGGTTTGTTATTTTTAATATTAAACAACTTTTCAGCTATGAAACTTTATATATGTAAGACTTACAAAGGTATTTATGTGCGTACATGATACCCTTGAAATGTCATATTATGTCGTACTTCATTGATTTTTATCTGTTGCCCTGTTAAAGTGGGGACTGTCTTCAGAGGTCAGGGCCCCGTTTCACAAAGCTCTCGTAAGCCTAAGATCTTGTAACTCTTCTCGTAGCATTGGTACCTCTTATTGTTACAGTATAGGAGGTACTAATGCTACGAGAAAAGTTACGAGATCTTAGGCTTACGAGATCTTTGTGAAACGGGTTACAGTATAGGAGGTACCAATGCTACGAGAAAGGTTACGAGATCTTAGGCTTACGAGATCTTTGTGAAATGGGGCCCTGGCATTTAACAATTTCAGATTTTGTTATGGATACCTACCTGAATCTGAGAAATTCTCTATATGAATGTGTAAGGTTGGTAAGCATTATTAATAATATGTCACTAGCATCAGTATTGGTGGGAGTTATCTACACTATGGTGAGGTGAGGTGAAATGGGGTTTAACCTCGTACTTGAGAATATTTCATTTAAATAACGACGTGCAAGCGTGTGTATTGTTGGCTGATTATACCAGCTCAGACTTAAGGTGGTTTTATAGTGCTAGCCCACTGAGATACCATACCGCAGTGAAGCATGAATTCCCCACTCGGATACGTTATACTGACTCCGAGCCGACCAGTCCTTGTTGTACCCATTAATGCCAAGCGCCAGACAGGGACCAACAAGTACCATATTTCAACTTCTTTTGGTATGAAGCGGCCAGGGATCAAACCCACGACCTTCCACTCACCTGACGGACGGGTCTAACCACTACACCACTGAGGCGGTCTATCTACACTATGGAGGAATGCTAATTAACAATTTCAGATTTCCGCCACCACAGAGGCGGTCTATCTACACTATGGAGGACTGCTAATTAAAAGCCAGTCTTAAAACTCTGTTATTGGGAAGGATTTGCTAGAAATTCTTCTATCAGGTGGAGCTTGGTGGTGCAAGTGCAGAGGTGTAGATAAGCTGCATATCTGCATAAATTTCGCAAATATTTATGTGAAAACTCAATTCATAATAGGTCTATTGCGCATTACAGGTACACTTGAAATATTAATACATTTGATCTTACATGTGTACTTACAAAAATATCAAATCTTATAAACTGGTGGATAGATACAATAACTGAGGTTTATTGAGAGGTTCTATTTCAACACATGAACTTGGCAACTTGTAGTCTTTCTTATCGTTTCTCATATTACAGATCAAATATAAATAGCAAACCACGTAAAGCAACATTTAAACTTTATATATTTTTACAAGTAATGGAAAATGGCAAAATACCTAATTAAGTTTGAGTGAGGTGGGTACAATTTATTTGGTTACTCAAAGGAAAATTTGGATACCCAATTGAGATGAACACAAGCGAGTACATAACTCAATGACCCAAAAAGTTACCTGTAGCTCTGCAAGAGTTTTTGTCTAACTAGGTATTATATGTTGGCTATATAGGGTGCCGTGTTCTCCATGGTTTAACTTCTTCAAGAGAGTATTTGATCACTCCCATCAGGTTGGTTTGGTTATTGTTAAACGTCCCACTCAGCAGTATCCCAGCTATATGGCGGCGGTCTGTAAATAATCGAGTATGGACCAGACAGTCCAGTGATCAACATGATGAGAATCAAACTACTCAGCTGAGTCAATGAGTTTAGTGTTACGCCGCTTTTGGCAATATTCCACCAGAAATGGGTTTCACTCATCGTACCCATGTGGGGAATCGAACCTGGGACTTCAGGGTTTGGAGGTTGCAAGCACGCACACACACACAAACCTTTGTCCTAAAAGTTTATTAATTGACGATTGAAACTCTCGTGAATACGGGTGAAAATTAAGTGTGCATCCCCCCCCTTTCACAAGAGGATGCGACCCTGGTAATTCATATATAATGATGCTGAAAATTTGTCAGTATATAGGTAATGGTTCAGCGACAACATGTCTGATTCTGCCTAGATGACCTACAACATTTTGTTGTAAATACAACCCAAATTTATACTGAACTTTCCTCTAGGACCAGACAATTTGGCTAACAAGCATTAATGAAAGGCAAAGGTGTGGTAAAACGTTTCTGTTGCAAACACATAACAAACACAATAACACAGCTAAAAAACTTTAGCATCATGCTCATGTTTATTGTCTTCCAGGGGCAGTGAGGTAGCATAGTAGATGTTTCTAAATCTATCAACACCGTAGTAAGGGGCGGTGGGGTAGCCTAGTGGTTAACGCGTTCGATCGTCAAGCCGAAGGCCCGGGTTCGATTCCCCACATGGGTACAATGTGTGAAGCCCATTTCTGGTGATATTGCTGGAATATTGCTAAATGCGTCGTAAAACTAAATTTACGCACTCGCACGATTGTGTTCCATAAAAGGGTTGACTGCTGGTCATCAACTTGAGAGCCTGGACACATGTAATGATTTTACTGGCGCATCAGTCAGTATCTGGCTACATCTTTTGAAGTAGGTCACGATGATAAACATGCGATTCTCACCCCATAAATATCAGTTCCACGTATAATTCAAATGCATATCTACACAGCCATCATTTCTCTGATGAAAATACTGCACTTTCGTCTCCAACCAAAACCACATACCCCGTAATTTTTCGTGATTACGAATAGAGGTTAAACCATCTGGAATAGTTCATGTACACGTCCTTCGTCGAGTCTGTGGTTGACTGGCTCAGCGCGATACCTTTGAATGATTTTCCTGTTCCTTACACATTACAGCACGAAGAGATCGTTAACGATTGTTCAGTTAGATAGAGAGACTTAAGTTGCACTAGAAATGTTTCACGGATACTCACCATCTTGTGCACAAATGTGAGAGAATGTCGCGGTTCCACACGGCAAATCTTGGAAAGGACGGTCACGAATCGATAAGAATTCATGACACGAGACGCTTGTTTCCGGAACACATGAAGGGAGACAACTCCTGTCACCCTATTTCATTAGTTAAGAAGCGGCAGGTAAATGATCTCGTCGCGAAAGGCGGGCATCGATGCTTGCTGTCAACGTCCAGATTAAGCGACATGCACAAGCCAGTTTGTCTGACGCAGCATGATCTACTAGTATTTGAATGTTTTGGTTTTGAAATACAATTATTATTCACCCATTGTTGCCCATGATGATATGGAACTTGGGACAATGCTCAAACATATAAATCTAAATTTTATATAGCCCAGGGTTAAAATTGCAGTGTTGACACATGGGGAACATACCTCATTCCTTGACTACATCGCTAATAGATTCCCATTGATGGTGTGTATCTTACTGTCATCGAGAGTGCGTGTCTGAATATGTATAAACTGGACCATATGGTGTTCATATGTGAAACGCGATCCGATCACTTCTTAAACCCGACCCCAAATACATTTAGCGATGTTCAAAATGTCCAATTGTACAATGTAGTTATCTATTTAATGTATAAGGAAATGTTTTGTGCAGGGGAACAAAATCATCAACATTGGTAGCATTGCGCATGCATATGAAGCGACGCTACAAGCATACTGGAAATTGTGTAGTACTTACTTTTTGTAAATATTTGAATTAAAGCAAAATCTATTTGTATGCTCTGGTGGTCTTAGACCACCTCGTGGTGTAGTGGTTAGAGCGTCCGCCTGGAGAGCGGAAGGTCGCGGGTTCGACCCCCAACCGCGTCATACAAAAGACGTTAAAATATGGCACTTGTTGGTCCCTGCCAGGCGTTCGGCATTAATGGGTACAACAAGGACTGGTTGGCTCGGAGTCAGTATAATGTATCTGAGTGGGGTATTCATGCTTCACTGCGGCGTGGTATCTCAATGGGCTAGCACTATAAAACCAGCTTAAGTCTGGGCTAGTACAAGCAGCCGCACATACACATACACACGCATGCACGTCGTCATATGAGCGAAATATTCTCAAGCACGACGTTAAACCCAATTTCACCTCACCTCTGATGGTCTTATATTCCTTAAACTCTTTACACTTTCCCTAGTGTTTGAAGTTCTTTCATTATGTACTAGCGATGATCAAGGTTAGAACAGGGCCTAGATTTTCGAAGCTCTCTTAGCGCTAAGATAGTCGTAAGTTAATGTTAATGTATAGTACTTACGACTATCTTAGCGTTAAGAGAGCTTTGAAAATCTAGGCCCTGGTCTTCAGCAACCCATACTTGTCGTAAGAGGCGAATATCGGGATCGGGTGGTCAGGCTCGCTGACTTGGTTGACACATTTCATCGTATCCGAGTCGTGTAGATTGATGTTCATGATGTTGATCATTGGGGTTTCTTGTCAAGAGTCTATTATTTACAGACATCCGCCATGCAGTTGGAATAGGGTTGAGTGAGGCGTTAAACAACAAACAAACAAATAAACAAACAAACAAATCTTTCATAATGTGTTTTATAACATGGCTTTCTGTCAGGTTTCAGGCGGTTAACGTCTGTCTGCACAACATTTAGGTGTTTTATCTGTTTTGTATCCTATACATATTTCAAAATGCCATTTGTGTTTTTAATTATATGCTAAACATGTATACGCTACAGAAATATTGTTTTGAATGTTATGAACTTGTTTTTCATGGAACTGTGTTAGTGCAGTTAGTGTGTGTAAAAGAGCAATCATCACTTCTTCATTATAAAATGAGGGGCGGTGGGGTAGCCTAGTGGTCAAAGCGTTGGCTCGTCACGCCGAAGACCCGGGTTGGAATCCCCACATGGGTACTATGTGTGAAGCCCATTTCTGGTGTCCCCCGCCGTGATGTTGCTGGAATATTGCTAAAAGCGGCGTAAAACCAAACTCAGTCAGTCAGTCATTATAAAATGAATAGACAATGACCTTTAGAAAGTGGTGAAATATAACATATATTATATTTGGAATTACGCTTTCTCAGTAAAGCACAGATTCTAGTACTTTTGTTGAGTTGAATCGATTCCCGGATGGGAATATTGTTCAGTATAATAATTTAAACATTGTCTCCTGTTTCTAGAATTGATTTTCAGCAAGCCATGCTTGTCGTAAAAGGCGACTAACGGGTTTTGGTGTTCAGGCTCGCTGACCTGGTTGACACATGTCATCGAATCCCAATTGCGTAGATCGATGCTCTTGAGTGAGTGAGTTAGTGAGTTGGGTTTTACGCCGCACTCAGCAATATTCCAGCTATAAGGCGGCGGTCAGTAAATAATCGAGCCTGGACCATACAATCCAGTGATCAACAGCATGAGCATCGATCTACGCAATTAGGAACCGATGATATGTGTGAACCAAGTCAGCGAGCCTGACCACCCGACCCCGTTAGTCGCCTCTTACGACAAGCATGGGTTACTGAATATAAATGTTCTAACCCGGACCTTCACGGGTTTCGATGCTCTTGATGTTGATATCTGGATTGTCTGGACCAGACTCGATTATTTACAGATATATTGCCACATTGCTAAAATATTGCTGTGCTGGCGTTAAACAACCAACCAACCAACTGTTGTTTTGCTTGCATAGATGATGTGGCAAAATGCATTCGCCTATGCAGCTGCTATGGAAAAAATGGAAAACAAGATATTTTTCCACTGTCAGATATTTCACAATGCCATGTTTTGACATTCAGCCAGCATACCATCCAGCCATTACATCGCAAGAATTTTAGTATTTAAATGTTAGGCATGTTCGCATGTCATATACTGGGAGTAATTAGTATTTAGGAGATGTGAACGGTTGTAAAATAATCAGGGACCTGTTATTGCTATTTCTATTAATATTGTTTACGGAATAATAACTGTGAGGCTTGTTAGGCCTATTATCAGCTCAAGGTCCGTGTCCCTTCTACACACTGCCAAGACAACCGGACTTCACGAAGGCCTCAGAGGTTGCGCTAAGGTTGCCGCAAGGACACGCCAGACCCCACTTATTGTTCGAATCCCGATTCTCCCGGATTGTTTCTTAATCTATCAACACCGTAGTAAGGGGTGGTGGGGTAGCCTAGTGGTTAAAGCGTTCGCTCGTCACGCTGAAGATCCGGGTTCGATTCCCCACATGGGTTCAATGTGTGAAGCCATTTTCTGGTGTCCCCCGTCGGATTATTGCTGGAATATTGCTAAAAGCGGCGTAAAACCATACTCACTCACTCACTCACTCAAAACCGTAGTCCCAGTCCTGAATTTCAACACAGGTGACCGTCAGTTCTGTTAGGACCTCACAACAGTTTGTAGTTCATCAATGGTTAAGCTGTTTCCCTTCGTATCGATATACGTGCAGACATTTTCGATTTGATCAGTAACTACACACCCAACCATGTCAGTCAGTGACTGTATTATATTTGCATTATGTCAACCAAGGTCAAGGTCATTACAGAGACACGACGGGTAACCGAGTGCATTCATTCTCTTGTGGTTTCCGTGCTCATGATTTATGCAGTTATTTGAAATCTGACTGACATCCTTCAAAAATACTTCATTGTGAGTGAGAATATATGCATGCACAATGACACATCAGCAGGCAAATCACACACAACCATCTGATCAATGTATTAGTTTGTTCACACGACTGACTGACTGACTGAGTTTAGTTTTCGCCGCTTTTAGTTATATTCCAGCAATATCACGGCGGGGGACACCAGAAATGGGCTTAACACATTGTGCCCATGTGGGGAATCGAACCCGGGTCTTCGGCGTAACGAGCCAGCGCTTTAACCACCAGGCTACCCCACCGCCCCTTGTTCACACGAGCATTGGCTACTTGGGACATGACCTGTCGAAGGACCTCACCCGGCGTTACATGTCATTAGAAACCAGTAAGAGACGATTAACGGGATCGGGTGGTCAGGCTCGCTGACTCGGTTGACACATTCATGTTATCGTATCCCAATTGCGAAGATCAATGTTCATGCTGTTGATCACTGGATTGTCTGGTCGATTAATTACAGACCGCCGCTATACAGATGGAGTTTTGCGGAGTGCGGCGTTGAACAGCAAGCAAAGAAATAGTAGAAATCAACCTCCAAACCTTCTTGAGTAAAATGACCAAATGTCTAACAACAACAACAACAACAACAACAATAACAACATCCATTCTTATACTAGTATTTGTTTCGTTCTTGCATTCAGCAATATTCAAGTTGTATGACGACGGACTGTAAATATCAAGAATCAGCCTGAGAATCAAGTGATAGAAATCCTGAGCATCTATGTTTGTAACCGTGTTCTTTATCAGGCGCATCAGTCAAGTCATTGATCCATAGTCACCTCATCTGAAAATCATTGTTGCTTATGGGTTGATGTGTGGTTACCGATGGCTGATGTTCATCACAAAGACACACATGCACGCCATGTCTCGATGTCGGACAATGTCAAGGGCAATGTATAGTCACCCTCGATTATCCAGAGTAATATTTGCATCGTACTGAGCACGATTAGAATGAGATTTCGAATCCGACCAGGGTGTTTAACATACAGAATGGATCATTTCTATGGTGTATACATCGCGTTCGAAGGCAGTGCAAATTCAGAAACACAGAACAAGCAGATCGTGTTAGAGAAAGGAAAAACTGATGGCGGCGGTCTGTAAATAATCGAGTCGAGACCATACAATCCGGTGATCAGCATCAAGAGTATAGATCTATGCTATTGATACGGTGCCATGTGTCAAACAGGTCGGCGAGCCTGACCACCCGATCCCGATAGATTTTACTAATATAATTGAACGCAACATCAATAATATTTTGTACGCTAAACAGCAAACATATGGTTGCGTAAATATCCATATTAATTTGCCACTGTGTGTAACAGATAATGCACAGCGTTATTCCTATAGGGCTTATGTAATCATAAACGTATAGCCAGTAATAAGTACATGTGCCGCAGACGCCCAGTAATGCGATTAGATTCCTGGCAATGTGGCTAACGCTTGCTGTGTATATAACCAATCGATTAGAAACTAGTATGTGTACAGATCAACAGATAGGAGAGAATATAGCGTACAAGCTATGCACTTGAATTCATTACATGGTTTAACTATTTCTTTGTTACAAGCTATGGGGTATTCGACATTGACATACAATTACAAAATTGTAATTTGTCAGTGAAATTGACATGGAAAGTGGAAATGAAACATGCTGGTTGGAACGTTTCTTGGCACATATAATCTCCTGCCCATATCATCTGCTCTGAAGCGATTTTTATTGAAAGGGCAAGGTGTAATAATGGTGGTCCTTTTTGCTCTCAGGATCTGCATGTTTAGAAACTGTGCAAAACATTTATGTATAGTAATGTTACTGTTATGTTAGATACCAAGTGAGAACTTGACGTTGAACATTTCAGGAGACGTATGTTTACATGTTCCCGCAATTCAGTACTGTGTTACTGATTGACACGCACTGATGCATCTTATCCGCGAACATATGGAATATACACTAGCGGCGATTGAGTGTCGCGTTGCTAACCCAGGTCGACAGGGGAGTAAAATGTGTGAATGCAACACCAGAATTGTCTTTACTCTGGCCATCCTTTATGTACAAATCCCAACACCCCTTCCCCCCCCAAAAAAAAATAATAAAAATTAATAATATATATATATATATATATATATATAAAAATATAGCAATTTAAACAATATAAAATAACTAAATAAATTAAATGAAATACAACTAATTTCAGATTAAAAAAAATATTAACAAGGTAAATTTAAAAAAAAAAACACCCTCGTTCGACTGCTAATCGATACAAATACGGGTTAGAGCACCAACAAGGAACGATAGAATATTAACTCCAGATATAATAGTTTTATTAATATAATTTACAACCAGGGAGAGTTGAAATGTTTGATATGAAACTGTTATTGGTTGTTCTCGTCAGGATGAACATAAAATGCTGAATGAAAGTCATTTTTCAGTCGGAATTTATGGGGAACTTTTGTAAGAGGTTCTGCATCCTGATCGATGGCCATGGAGGGTAGGTACTCAGAACGATCCTTCGCAATCACTGGATAGTTCATGAACGAATATCTGAACGGGACTGGTGTCATGTTGAACCCATGTTGATGGGGTAATGTCACTGGCTTCGATGACGTCAGAACCTTCAGCGGCGATGCCGCAACAACATCCGGTTCATACGACCCATGGTACACTTCTCCTTCCGAGGTCACGCTCGATGTCTCCGATAAATCGGAAGCGCTTCCTTGTCTCACGGCCATGTCAAAACGAGGCTCTGAAAACACATCACCAGCTATTTCTTTCCGATTTAACTTTTCTCCAAAATGGCGTTTAAGGGCTGCCAGCTCATGTTTCAGCTCAATATTTTCACGCTGCAGCTCCTTGTACTTTGCCTCCATTGTTTTCTCTATGGCTCTCTTCTTCAGCCTCGACCGTCGAGCTGATTCGTTGTTCTTCAGCCTCTTCGACCAATAGGCCGTGTCCTTTTTGTCCATGGGCACAAACTCGCGTTGTGCCCGTATGATGGAAGTGTCATATAAAAATGAATTACTGATGTGAGATGTCTCGTTCCTCATCGGGATAAGAAGTTCACATGACTTGATCTCTTCATTTGTGAGTTCCTCTTTATGCCTCGGGGATTGCGTCTGTATCCACGATCCATATACCTTCCAGTTTGGATTTAGTTGACTGTACTCGGATACGAACTCAGGATCTTTTCTCTCCTGTTTGATGTGTAAATCCATCGTGTTCAAAGTCTAATATATTCCCAACAGAAGCTGCTTCGTCTCTGCAAGCAGAAAGAACTCAGTCCTGTGAAACTGGACACAACACTATGACAACCTCACAGCCGACTGACATCGGCTGTATATAGGTCCCTCTTTTATACAACTCACGCCATACCCGTTACCATGGAAACAACTACTGACGTAATTACAGTCGGCTGGAGCTGCCGTGAATTAGATTTAAATTCATAATATCAGAAAGGTCACAAAAACAGACATACACAACAAACTGTTTACAGTATATTCGTGTGTTGGCGGTGGTGGTGTCTGAGACGGTGTCTCCCTCTGTTGGTGTCAATGTTTGTGATGGTCGGTGTGGTGTTGTTCTGTTGTTGTTTTCGGGGGGGGTCGTTCTTTAAAGCCGCACTCAACAATATTCCAGCTATTTGACGGCGGTCTGTAAATAATCAAGCAAGTACCAGAAAATCTAGTGATCAGTATCATGAGCATCGATCTACGCAATTTGATACGATGGCATGTGCATCAGTCTAACCCGGATCTTCACGGATGGAGTGAGTGAGTTTAGTTTTACGCCGCTTTTAGTAATATTCGAGCAATATTACTGCGGGGGGACACCAGAAATGCACCCACATGGGGAATCGAACCCGGGTCTTCGGCGTGACGAGCGAACGCTTTAACCACTAGGCTACCCTTCCGCCCTGGTTGTGATGGTAGTAGATGTGGAATTGGGTGTCTGGGTACATAACATGCATGATGGTGTAATATCGAAACAGAGACAAGCAAAGTGCAACCAATTGCGACTGGGTGTATTCATTTACATGGTTCGTAGATCAACAATCTCAGCCTGCTAGCTGCCACAATAAAATGTTTCATAATCATAACGCTTTGGGGAACGTATCTCCATTGTGGCACAATACATATTCGACACCGGGAAAACTAACTCCCTCAAAGTATAGTTATTTTTAGTCACGTGTTAGGTTTACTTGATGACGAGTCCGATACGATACCACATAGATAGTGCGTCAACAACGTACTGGGGTTGTAATACAATACATATATGGATGGTTGTACCGCGGGCTTGCCTATATCCGTAATGTCTGGAACACTTGGTGTGAAGAGATTGGGACTCTAACTGGTGATGTAATGTTGATGGTATTGGTGATGTTGATGATGATGGTGATGTAGATATGACTGTGATGGTCATAATGTTACATGTATGTTATGTAGTAGTGATGGTGATAGTGGTGGCGTTGATGATGGTGGTGACAATGTTGATGATGATGGTGATGTAGATATGACTGTGATGGTGATAATGATTACATGTATGTTATGTAGTGGTGATAGTGGTGGCGTTGATGATGGTGGTGACAATCTTGATGATGATGGTGATGTAGATTTGGCTGTGATGGTGATAATGATTACATGTATGTTATGTAGTAGTGATGGTGGTGGCGTTGATGATGGTGGTGACAATGTTGATGATGATGGTGATGTAGATTTGGTTGTGATGGTGATAATGATTAAATGTATGTTATGTAGTAGTGATGGTGATGGCATTGATGATGTTGGTGACAATGTTGATGATGATGGTGATGTAGATTTGGTTGTGATGGTGATAATGATTACATGTATGTTATGTAGTAGTGATGGTGATGGCGTTGATGATGGTGGTGACAATGCTGATGATGATGGTGATGTAGATTTGGTTGTGATGGTGATAATGATTACATGTATGTTATGTAGTAGTGATGGTGGTGGCGTTGATGATGGTGGTGACAATGCTGATGATGATGGTGATGTAGATTTGGTTGTGATGGTGATAATGATTACATGTATGTTATGTAGTAGTGATGGTGATAGTGGTGGCGTTGATGATGGTGGTGACAATGTTGATGATGATGGTGATGTAGATATGACTGTGGTGGTGATAATGTTATATGTATGTTATGTAGTAGTGATAGTGATGGTGATTGCGTTGATGATGGTGGTGACAATGTTGATGATGATGGTGATGTAGATTTGGTTGTGATGGTGATAATGATTACATGTATGTTATGTAGTAGTGATGGTGATAGTGGTGGCGTTGATGATGGTGGTGACAATGTTGATGATGATGGTGATGTAGATTTGGTTGTGATGGTGATAATGATTACATGTATGTTATGTAGTAGTGATGGTGATGGCGTTGATGATGGTGGTGACAATCTTGATGATGATGGTGATGTAGATTTGGTTGTGATGGTGATAATGATTACATGTATGTTATGTAGTAGTGATGGTGGTGGCGTTGATGATGGTGGTGACAATGTTGATGATGATGGTGATGTAGATTTGGTTGTGATGGTGATAATGATTACATGTATGTTATGTAGTAGTGATGGTGATAGTGGTGGCGTTGATGATGGTGGTGACAATGTTGATGATGATGGTGATGTAGATTTGGTTGTGATGGTGATAATGATTACATGTATGTTATGTAGTAGTGATGGTGATGGCGTTGATGATGGTGGTGACAATCTTGATGATGATGGTGATGTAGATTTGGTTGTGATGGTGATAATGATTACATGTATGTTATGTAGTAGTGATGGTGGTGGCGTTGATGATGGTGGTGACAATGTTGATGATGATAGTAGATGTAGATATGACTGTGATGGTGATAATGATTACATGTATGTTATGTAGTAGTGATGGTGATAGTGGTGGCGTTGATGATGGTGGTGACAATGTTGATGATGATGGTGATGTAGATATGACTGTGATGGTCATAATGATTACATGTATGTTATGTAGTAGTGATGGTGATGGCGTTGATGATGGTGGTGACAATGTTGATGATGATGGTGATGTAGATTTGGTTGTGATGGTGATAATGATTACATGTATGTTATGTAGTAGTGATGGTGGTGGCGTTGATGATGGTGGTGACAATGTTGATGATGATAGTAGATGTAGATATGACTGTGATGGTGATAATGATTACATGTATGTTATGTAGTAGTGATGGTGATGGCGTTGATGATGGTGGTGACAATCTTGATGATGATGGTGATGTAGATTTGGTTGTGATGGTGATAATGATTACATGTATGTTATGTAGTAGTGATGGTGGTGGCGTTGATGATGGTGGTGACAATGTTGATGATGATAGTAGATGTAGATATGACTGTGATGGTGATAATGATTACATGTATGTTATGTAGTAGTGATGGTGATGGCGTTGATGATGGTGGTGACAATCTTGATGATGATGGTGATGTAGATTTGGTTGTGATGGTGATAATGATTACATGTATGTTATGTAGTAGTGATGGTGGTGGCGTTGATGATGGTGGTGACAATGTTGATGATGATGGTGATGTAGATATGACTGTGATGGTCATAATGATTACATGTATGTTATGTAGTAGTGATGGTGATGGCGTTGATGATGGTGGTGACAATCTTGATGATGATGGTGATGTAGATTTGGTTGTGATGGTGATAATGATTACATGTATGTTATGTAGTAGTGATGGTGGTGGCGTTGATGATGGTGGTGACAATGTTGATGATGATAGTAGATGTAGATATGACTGTGATGGTAATAATGATTACATGTATGTTATGTAGTAGTGATGGTGATAGTGGTGGCGTTGATGATAGTGGTGACAATGTTGATGATGATGGTGATGTAGATTTGGTTGTGATGGTGATAATGATTACATGTATGTTATGTAGTAGTGATGGTGATAGTGATGGCGTTGATGATGGTGGTGACAATCTTGATGATGATGGTGATGTAGATATGACTGTGATGGTGATAATGATTACATGTATGTTATGTAGTAGTGATGGTGATAGTGGTGGCGTTGATGATGGTGGTGACAATGTTGATGATGATGGTGATGTAGATATGACTGTGATGGTCATAATGATTACATGTATGTTATGTAGTAGTGATGGTGATGGCGTTGATGATGGTGGTGACAATGTTGATGATGATGGTGATGTAGATTTGGTTGTGATGGTGATAATGATTACATGTATGTTATGTAGTAGTGATGGTGATAGTGATGGCGTTGATGATGGTGGTGACAATGTTGATGATGATGGTGATGTAGATATGACTGTGATGGTAATAATGATTACATGTATGTTATGTAGTAGTGATGGTGATGGCGTTGATGATGGTGGTGACAATGTTGATGATGATGGTGATGTAGATATGACTGTGATGGTGATAATGATTACATGTATGTTATGTAGTGGTGATAGTGGTGGCGTTGATGATGGTGGTGACAATCTTGATGATGATGGTGATGTAGATTTGGCTGTGATGGTGATAATGATTACATGTATGTTATGTAGTAGTGATGGTGGTGGCGTTGATGATGGTGGTGACAATGTTGATGATGATGGTGATGTAGATTTGGTTGTGATGGTGATAATGATTAAATGTATGTTATGTAGTAGTGATGGTGATGGCATTGATGATGTTGGTGACAATGTTGATGATGATGGTGATGTAGATTTGGTTGTGATGGTGATAATGATTACATGTATGTTATGTAGTAGTGATGGTGATGGCGTTGATGATGGTGGTGACAATGCTGATGATGATGGTGATGTAGATTTGGTTGTGATGGTGATAATGATTACATGTATGTTATGTAGTAGTGATGGATGGTGGCGTTGATGATGGTGGTGACAATGCTGATGATGATGGTGATGTAGATTTGGTTGTGATGGTGATAATGATTACATGTATGTTATGTAGTAGTGATGGTGATAGTGGTGGCGTTGATGATAGTGGTGACAATGTTGATGATGATGGTGATGTAGATTTGGTTGTGATGGTGATAATGATTACATGTATGTTATGTAGTAGTGATGGTGATAGTGATGGCGTTGATGATGGTGGTGACAATCTTGATGATGATGGTGATGTAGATATGACTGTGATGGTGATAATGATTACATGTATGTTATGTAGTAGTGATGGTGATAGTGGTGGCGTTGATGATGGTGGTGACAATGTTGATGATGATGGTGATGTAGATATGACTGTGATGGTCATAATGATTACATGTATGTTATGTAGTAGTGATGGTGATGCGTTGATGATGGTGGTGACAATGTTGATGATGATGGTGATGTAGATTTGGTTGTGATGGTGATAATGATTACATGTATGTTATGTAGTAGTGATGGTGATAGTGATGGCGTTGATGATGGTGGTGACAATGTTGATGATGATGGTGATGTAGATATGACTGTGATGGTAATAATGATTACATGTATGTTATGTAGTAGTGATGGTGATGGCGTTGATGATGGTGGTGACAATGTTGATGATGATGGTGATGTAGATATGACTGTGATGGTAATAATGATTACATGTATGTTATGTAGTAGTGATGGTGATGGCGTTGATGATGGTGGTGACAATGTTGATGATGATGGTGATGTAGATTTGGTTGTGATGGTGATAATGATTACATGTATGTTATGTAGTAGTGATGGTGATAGTGATGGCGTTGATGATGGTGGTGACAATGTTGATGATGATGGTGATGTAGATATGACTGTGATGGTAATAATGATTACATGTATGTTATGTAGTAGTGATGGTGATGGCCTTGATGATGGTGGTGACAATGTTGTTGATGATGGTGATGTAGATATGACTGTGATGGTGATAATGATTACATGTATGTTATGTAGTAGTGATGGTGATGGCCTTGATGATGGTGGTGACAATGCTGATGATGATGGTGATGTAGATATGACTGTGATGGTGATAATGATTACATGTATGTTATGTAGTAGTGATGGTGATAGTAGTGGCGTTGATGATGGTGGTGACAATGTTGATGATGAGGGTGATGTAGATATGACTGTGATGATGATAATGATTACATGTATGTTATGTAGTAGTGATAGTGGTGGCGTTGATGATGGTGGTGACAATGTTGATGATGATGGTGATGTAGATATGACTGTGATGGTCATAATGTTACATGTATGTTATGTAGTAGTGATGGTGATTGCGTTGATGATGGTGGTGACAATGTTGATGATGATGGTGATGTAGATATGACTGTGATGGTGATAATGATTACATGTATGTCATGTAGTAGTGATGGTGATGGTGATGGCGTTGATGATGGTGATGACAATGTTGATGATGATGGTGATGATGGAAATGATGATAGTGACCGTTAGTGTCGTGATTGCGAAGGTGACTGTGATGCTAATGGTTATGGTGACTGTGATGATGATCATGGCGATGGTGATGGTGATGGCAGGGGTGATGATGATGGCGATGGTGATGGTGCTTTTGAGTGAGAGTGAGTATGGTTTTACGCCGTTTTTAGCAATATTCCAACAATATCACGGCGGGGGACACCAGAAATGGGCTTCGCTGGAGATGTGTGTGACTGGTTGATATAATACATATCACCTATATTCCAAGGAACGTAGCAATGGGACTAGCCTGGCTCCAAGGCTGTACTGAATGCTGAGCCCATGGATGTATAGTAATTCTATCCTTCGAAGAGGCAGTTCTAGATAAGCGGACAGTACTAAGGACCTCTGTTTGGTATCTATTATTTTTTAGACATTATAATTTAAACTATTAATATTTACCTTAGAGACGTGTGCAAGTCTACATTGGGACCAGAAAGGTTTCCAGGAGCTAGTTTCCAAAGTTTCGTTTTTCCAGTTATATACAGTGGTAAAAACATTCACTTTTCCTCTTTCAAAAACTCCTATTAAAGCGAACTTGAATATCTTTAAAACATACGTCATAGTAGGATACGGAATGTGATTCAAAATTACATTCCCTACAAAGGGAAGGTGATTTGCGAAGTCCAAAAATACCGCGTCCGAATGATCGGAACTATTAAGATAATAAATACATGTAATTCTTTCAACACTATCCTAGCGATGACAAACATCCTCACTCTAATGTTGGGCGCAGCGCAGCGTAACCAGTCAATACAGGAACTATTCAACAGCCCATATTGCGGTTTCGATAATTCGATCGGGTATCTCGCGCTTTAACCCTTTCTCTCCGCTTATCAGACAAATAACCTTCTACGCATCTTCAAATTATGTAATATATACAGATATAAGAAAGCAACATATCCATTCCTTTATCCAGATATCCAATCGTTGTCAAAAACAGCCTCTCAATGGTTGCGTAACATTAATATCCGGGTACCTTTGCACCTGCCCATGTTCTGTAGACCTTGAAGTATGCAGCGCATGCGTGGCGTCAATGACAGAAAGATTGGTAATTAATTACGTTGGTTTCATGACAACAGTTTTAGGCTAATGATTGAGACAAATCAACGATTTTGTGTTAGATTACTAGTGTTTTTACATGTCTGCAGTGATAATTGGAAAATGAACATAAAAGTGAAACTATTTCATTGTGTCAGCATTCATCCATTCAATAAATTGTTCAACTCGTACTCCACTCCTGTACCAATCCTCCTTTCAGTCCTAGCCTGTGCTTAAGAGCCTTGAGGGGGCGGTGGGGTAGCCTAGTGGTTAAAGCGTTGGCTCGTCACGCCGAAGACCCGGGTTCGATTTCCCACATGGGTACAATGAGTGAAGCCCATTTCTGGTGTCCCCCGCCATGATATTGCTGGAATATTACTAAAGGCGGCGTAAAACCAAACTCAGTCAGTCAGTTAAGAGACTTGAGGACTCCTTAATGATTGAAAGTTCTTTTAGTAATATCATTTCACCTCATGCGTAACTTAAATTTCGTCTTCTTCACCAAACTCTCCCCACAGTCCACCCAGCTGAATTCATCGGTCGTCACACGTACTGCTATTTCTAATGTAGTTCAACCTAATTCACAGCATTTCATTGTCCTCACAATTTGGACAACGGGGGGTGGAGCAGGTTGTGGGCAGGGCTTTTGGACTGACTAATGTACTAAGGATATAGACCTTCACGTAATGCTTATCGTATTTTGGGTGACCCTCCCAATGTCCTTGTATACTAGTAAGTCTTTTATGAAAACGATTTGAGTATTATGTGAGTGACACTCCCTAGAATTGTCATATTTCTGTAGACCCCTTACAGCAAATGAATAAAGGACACGTCCCTGCGTAGTAAATGTCTGTATGAGTAATTTGGGAAACAGGATAGATAGATATATAGATAGATAGATAGATAGATAAATAGATGGATGGATGGATGGATGGATAGATAGTGTGAACACAAGTTGTTTGACAATTTAACACAATATCACTATGTGATAACCCTGTTATATTCTATTGTAACGAGGTGAAGGTTGCAAAATAGCGTTCTACCAGTACCTGTTATATTTTCTAGTATACTCAAAACACGTCAAAGAAATATATATTCTGGTTTTAAATGATATTATCGACACGATATTCACTCATAGCATAAGGGTATTACGTACCTATACAGTGAACGTTGCTGGTAGCTTTTCCATGTAACGTGCTCACGCCGCGAATGTTTACGAGAAACAGACAGAGGCGGGTTAGGCTTGGCAACCGCACGTCGATATTCACATTCAGGTCCAGCTGTAAGTATCATTAAAAGGGAGACGACTGGTATAGGTTGTACGCTGTATGATTCGGCGTTCGCACTGTATGACCTATTGCATAAGGCGCGTCTCGTGACAATGTTGAAGTTGCATAACGTTTCGTAATATGGAATCCGACTGGATTAATGTTTCGTAACATAACTGAGCTGATACCTGGATCATTTCTATAATTATAACCGCCATTAATGGCGGAGCAATGTTTTGTTTGCTAGTTCAGGGTGTGTTCGCGTCAGAAATGCACTGCCTTTTATGCGCTGATAAAGTTGAAATAGCATCTATGTTGAGAAACGTGTTACGGGGTGAATTAGGTGAAGAGGTGTATGCATATTGATATGCTTTTTAAAGGCTACATGATTATCTCGATAAAACAAACATATTATCATCGATCGATCGATCGATCGATCGAGAGAGAGAGAGAGAGAGAGAGAGAGAGAGAGAGAGAGAGAGAGAGAGAGACAGAGACCATAAGGATGCAGCTTGTAAAGCCCTTTTCTAGTGTCCATCTGCCATTATACTGGATTATTGCGTGGCATAAAACCTCACCCACTCACTCGTTTGGTTATGCTTCCGGTATATGCATTAAGACGTCTGTAACATATTGCATGATATATAATTAATAACAGGGTTATGATCATCACATGTCGGCCACGTCTTCGTATAAGTAATGACATTCTCGACAGAAATCCAGACGATTAAATAAGTAATATTTTAGTGATCAGTAGCAAGATGGATAAGCGTTCAGGATGAATTGAATATGTGTCATTTGTTATAAGTGTAGTCAGTAGTATGTTTATTTCATCGAAAGACCTGACATTATACATACTTTAAAATGCCACAGTCAGTTGTAATATGCATGCCATTTGAGAGCCTTGTTTTTATACCTGTATTTTATAAAATATCTGGTGAAAACATCGTTACCAAATTCAAATGAGACGTAAACAATTCAAGCATTAAATACTTATTCAGTGTAGATTAACATAATACATTTCACTCGAGTGGAATGTCGATATCAGATTTGGAGATAAACGCAGGGTTTCATACAATTTAAGAACATGTTATATTAATTTATAATATTGATTATTAAATGACAGACGAAATAACAGTAAGATGAACCAGTCCAATTTATTCGGATTCTGAAAAACCTGTTAATCTGTTTTAATCGCCAGTCTTTAGGTCGCGGGGTGGACACGGTATCTTCAGCATGCAGCTTGAGTGGGGTTGTGTGGGGTTGGGTAGGGGAGAGGGTCTACATTGTTAGCAGTATACAGTACTGTACACGTTTCTCGTGGGTTTCACCAATGTGTGAGTGAGTGAGTTTAGTTTTACGCCGGTTTTAGCACTATTCCAGCAATATCACGGCGGAGGACACCAGAAATGGGCTGCACAAATGAAATCAAAAGGACTGTAGCGTATACATTCGAGTCACGGACGCTGTTGTGGTTTCAAGATGTCATACGGGCCCACGTTAAACCTATACGAATGTATTTCAATTTGAATTTCAGATGTGACAGCTGGCACACCACTCGTGCTGTGTACGTATAATGTGCAGTTGTCTTCACTGCTTTTAATGACTACTCAGGTAGTTACTATGACAGACAGTTTATTCTCAAGAGAACCCACCAACGGTGGTACATGAGAAAAGTACAATATAAATTCGCATATGATAATATAATCAATCAAGATGACAGCAATATAAGGTAAACACATATATATAGTGAAATTTTCAATGAAATATGACAAAGTAAGTTAACATGATTCTCATGCTGCTGCAACTAGTCTGAAGATGATGTTGATGAATTTAGACAGGTCTTTCACATTTTTTACTCTGGTGCTAGATAAACATTTTTTTGGCTTGAACATATTAGGCCATTCTGCTTTTAATGACTACTCAGGTAGTTACTATGAGCTCATCGCGTGTTCAAGAATACACCCAAGCTACATCAAGTTGTCTAAACGAGAGAGTACGACTTAGATAACAACGGGGTCCATCCCCGTTAAACCCCTAGTGTCCTGCATGAGTCACCTCGTTGGGATAAGTATGGTGGCGTGATATCGCTTTCTCGCCTCCGAATTTTAAGGCGAGAAAGCGATGGCCCTAATCAGCCACCATAGATAAGGGACTGGTCCTATATTATAGGGGTGGGTCACACGAAAATGTATGTTAGAAGGGTCTACAAAACGTTTGTTTCCATTTTTTATTTCAGTACACCTGGGTTACACGTTTGTACAGTAGCATATAAGTAGCATATAAGTAAAATATAAGTAGCATATAAGTTCATACAGTTCAGACAGTGTAGCTATATATTAATGGACAGACTTGTTCATAGAGTAACGAAACAACTTATACAGTTCATACAAAGTAGCTATACTGATGTACAGGGTGTGATGTTTGCTTTCATAAACAACATGTTGATGGCAACTTATAATCCGTGGTTAGAATGCTGTATTAATAGAGAATATCAGCCGCATTGCAACAAGTATCACACATGGCAAATAATGATAACAAAAATATTAGAAAGTTAATACCGTAATGGTTACCTGATGAATTCTCAGTGCTTTTCAAGAGCAGGAGAAAAAGATCACATTGTAGCAAATATCGTAAGACGTATAGTGGCAGTTGGTGTACCAATGTTTATCATGGGATAATGCAATAAAACTGTTACACAATATATGGTACAGAGGTCACATTACAGTAAGTATCAAGTTGTAATGATACTAATGATAATGATATTAGTAAGAATGGTTTGTATCATAAGTTCGGTCAAGGGTAGCTGGTGTATCAATGTTTATCAAAGGTTGCCATTTCTTATTGAAAGTGTTAACTTTCAGATTCATATTTGCAATGTATTTTTCAATATTCATTATACCCTTGACTGTTTTTACAAATGAGTCAAAGCAAAGCTTTTTTGAGTTAATAAATATACTGTTATTGTGAATGAATTTTGTCGCAATCAGAATCAAGTGATTTTGTAATACAAAGCGTCTGGGTAGTCCAAATAAGACAACTTCCTTTGGTAGTTCACATCTGCTAGTACATCTTCTGTTCATAAAATCTGCTACCTGCTTCCATAAACTATTAACATGTGTTCATTCATAATAAACATGATTAATATCTTCATTTGTTCCTTCACAAACACAGCATGTATTTTTGTCTATTAATTCCATTTTTAAGAGTTCTTGTATATATTGTTGTTTGTACGAATTTATAATGAAAATCGCACAATTTACTGTCTTTGGTACAGGTTCTTGTTTGTGTATATATAAGTTTCCAATTCATAACAGTATTAAACTCATTGTTCCAGTTTAGACAAGAATGAGGTGTATCAACGTTTTTGTCAAGGTTGTCATGATATATTCTACATCCTTTCGATTCAGAGAGCAGGTCCACTGAAGGTTCAGATAAGCTTAGGTTGTAGAATAGTGTGTTGTTGTTTTTCATTTTCCCTCTCCATTCTACAGGAAGATTATTAATTAAACTTCCAAAGTCAAGAAACGTGCCTTTAATGTTGTAAGTCTTTTTTAATAATATCAGATGAAAGAAAGCCTTCCTTACCATATACATCCTTTATAGCTGTAATTCCTTGTTTAGACCAACTTTTTATTAAAAGGTTTGGGCTTGTATTCTGATAGTTAAGCCACAGAGGTTCATTGAGGGGTACTATGCTTTTGCAAGTAATAGTGTTTCCATGCCAAAAAAGTATCTATCCAGAAAGGGTTATCAGTTGTGAAAATTTTCTCAATATTAGCACCCACTAAGAATAAATTTGAAAAAGGAAAATTCAAGAGTCTAGTCTCTTTTTGTATATATCGTCGCAGAAATGATATTTTTAATGCTGAGATAAAGTTAAAAATGTCTACCATCCTTAATCCACATAATCCCTTATCAAAGTAGTTCTCTTGATATTTATCCTGCTTACCATCCCAGATAAAGTTGAACAAGATCTTATTGAGGTTGTTTTCACATTCTTTGGTGGATTTAGTAAGGGTGAGAATATATGAACTAATGTGGATAGTATCAATGATTTTATTACAATAATTTCATATATTAAGGTCAGCTTTCTTTTCCTCCAGTTTGCCAATAGTTTATTTATTGTTTCAAGTCTTTTTCTAGTATTTATAACCCAGAGATTGTCCAACTGTGAATTCAAAGTAATTCCCAATACTTCGAAGTCAGAGTTTATCCCATTTAATTTTCTATCTTCACATAGTGTTACATTAGAGTCTGCCTTGGATCCTAGCCATATTGCCTTGGTCTTCTCAATATTCACCTTAAGTACAGAAATTTGGTGAAATGTATCTAGTGTATGTAGAGCACTCTTCAAGCTATTCTCAGATCCATCGAGGAAAAGTTCTGTGTCATCTGCGTATTGATCTAGTTTTATGTTCTTTGTTATTTATATTTATTCCTTTTATAAGCGCATTATTTCTAATTATAATTCTAATTAGCTCTGCACCAAAAACAAAGAGATATGGGGACACTGGATCGCCCTGACGACATCCCCGTCCGTTTTGAAAAAATGGGGACAAATGGCCATTTTGAATTACACATGAGTTAGTGAGGATTCTAATCCATTTTATCATTTTTGGCCCAAATCGAAATTTCTTTAACACTTTGAGTAGAAATCGTTTTGAAACAGTATCAAATGCCTTTTCAAAATCTATTAGAATTAACAGGCCCGGTCTATCCTCCTGTTTCAGCTCATATATTATATCATATAGGTTTCTAATATTATCAGTAATACATCGCTCGGGTATGAATCCGGTTTGATTTCCATCTATGAGATACTGAAGCGGTTTTATAAAATCTATTGGTAATACATGTACTTAAAATTTTGTAAAGAGTGTTTAATAGCGAAATAGGACGCCAGTTATTTAAATATTTTCTATCTTTATTAGCTTTTGGTAAGCAAGCGACAACACCTCTGTTTACAGTATCCGATAGCCTTTCTTCCACAAAAGCTTTTGAAATAAACCTAAAAATCCATGTTTCTACAAAACTTGTCACAAATA